GGATGCAAAATCAACACAGCCTTTCCCGGTCGTAAGCCAATGTCGGTGAGTTTATGACTGCTAACTGTCCTTGTGATGTAAAAGAGACTGGCTTTTTCTGACCATACAACACCATACCCAGGGTTTCCCTTACATAGGCGTAGCTGTGGTGGCCCGCCACGGCTGAAATCCCACCGCCACGCCTACAAGATCCCAAGTTTTTTTTTTTTGCGCTGTTTCCCAAAGAAGCAGCAGGAACTACTATGTTGTCGCTTGTGATCACAGCCGGGCAGGCATCATGGAGGAGCAGGCAGGGCAAGGTGAAGTTACAGCATAAGTTACTGAGTTTAAAATTAGAACGGTAGCAGTGGATATAATGCTTTTTGGTTTACATGTTTCAATAGCATTAAGATAAATGAGTGTTGACGATCTTGACAGGGTTTCCTCCAGTGCTTATTAGGCCAGGTTTTCCTCCCCCCTCCAGGCTAAGCATCACTTATTCATGTAAAATGTATTTATTTTTTCATGTCTGACTTTAACCGCATCTATTACTGTATTACGGCGTGAGCGCAACAGCGACAACTTAAGATCGATGTGTGAGCAGCCTGAGAGGTCGGGTGTTTTCATCGGAACCCTTAAAACCTCCAGCAGGCTAAGTTGCATTATTGACGTGTTAGCGCGTGGCGCTAACAACTTAGCGACGTGACATGTCTCGGAGAAAGCGTAAAAACACGTTGGACGCTTCTTCTGAAGCGGGAAAATAACACCTCTACTTAAGCAGAGCACGACGTCGCCTCGGCTCGTTCACGGCCAAGCCGGTGTCGGTACAGGATCTGCTCGGGTGCAAGATCGGCTTGGGGTCCTTCGACTGCCGATGACGTCAAAGTACGGCAAACTCACTTGGACAAAATACATTACACATCTATACTGTTGGAAAGAATTTTGCAGTTTCGTTATTAAAATAATGTTTCTTAAGAAGTAAGTTTGTGTTTATAATGGTATTTGTAAAATAAAACACTATATTGTATTCATAATGTTGAACTCCTCTTTGAGCACATCCCTTGAAGGATCATAGGTATTAGCAACACCTGTGAAATTGTATTTGCAGGAAAGAAGTGTGTCCCATTTATTGAAGTATTTTGTGTTTTTGACGTCTTGTCCATGCGTAGTTCAGTTACGCTCATAGCTGCTATAGCCAAAACTCTGGAGTTAAAAGTTTTCTGGCTTTACTTAAATACCTGTCTGTACTTAGTTGATTGATGGTAGTTTTACTTTCTATTAGACTCCAAATTTAATCATTTGGCACGTTTCTAATTCATAATTTGTAATAATGTAATCGGTGATATTATCATTAGCATTCCTATGGGTTTTTCCATGTATATTAGCATTACGCTAACCACTCGCTGCCAAATTGCAGCCTTTGCGATTAAAAAATCTCCTTTTGTCACATCGCAATTTAATTGCACATGCAGTTAATCGTTTAGCCCTAATATACATGCAGCTCTATGCTAAAAGTGTATTTTCAAAGAGGTAATGATGGATTGCTTTGTAAAAGTTGTCCATCTTCCAACAGAAAGATTTGCCTGGACCAACGTAACGTGGTAACAACGTAACGTGATTACGTAATTCCGTAAGGTTCATGTTCAGCCAATCAACTACTTTGACGTCATCGGCAGTCGACGGACCCCGAGCCGATCTTGCACCGAGCAGATCTTGTACCGACACCGGACTGAGCTCGATAACATTGACCCAGCACAGCCACTGGGTCGTTGGAGCTGCCCCATGACTGCCTGATAGAAAACCAGCAGGATTCATCACACTCGTAAAGTTTCTTGTTTTTGCTGGGGACCCCCTGTATTTTACCGCTCCCTCCTGCAGTCTTCCCCTATAAAAATTTATAATGATTCTGCAAATTCCGTGTATCAAATCTCTGCCTCTGCCAGCTGCAGTAAATGTAGTCTCCAAATAATAAATAAGAGGTGCATTCATCAGTGTATCTCCTTTGATCCGCATTAGTGATATTTTCAGCACCAGAACAGTGAAGCAAAGAAACAGATTCCTGAGTTTGTTAGTAATTTTATTTATTAGGTGCATCTGACCTGTTCTATTTTTCTCTGAAATGAGATCAAATTAGTGCTTCTTTGGGTTGTCTCCTCTCTGCACTAGAAATTTTTACTTTATTTAGAGACGTGTCATAATTTCTCCCCAAGCACCCCCGCACCCCCCACCCCCCGCCCCCACCGCCACAGCTGGAAAGATTCCTAGGGGAAACACTGATACCATACCAACTTTATTTCTAAAAGCGCATCTAAACACAGAGTGTGAGCTGACCAAAGCGCTGTACGCCACAAAACCATACAAAGGCCAATAAAACATTATCAATAAATACAAATAAAACACCTAAAAGAGCATTAAGATAAAAATCAAATAAAATGAAGATTCTATCTGAAAGCCAGCTCCTAGTAATGGGTCTTTACAAAACCAAATAAAGACCAATAAAACAAAATAAAACACGATCAACGGATACAAATAAGAACACCTAAAGGAACTGGAATATTTTGACATTTACTAATGCTTAATGTGGGCGATAATTTTCAGGCTCAGCATGCATTTTCAACTCAGAGGGACTGATCATATTTCAAAAAGAATTTTCAAGAAGTATTTTATGGTTTCTTTGTGAACAAGACCATGAAACCAGGCAAAGGTCGCACTAGGGGGTCCCAAGTGGACCATGACCCCCCCCCCCCCCCCACACACACACACACACACACACACACACACACACACGCACACCTTTACAACACACGCTTCATGCTGTTGACACCAAACTGGCCAAACTGGCTGAAGACTCATTAATGCTTTTGTGGACACCTGATGATCTTAGTTGGCTTCTCTTCTGTTCTAGCAACTTGTAAAAGTTTCTTATGAACGTCTTTTACAGGTCATCTGCTGTCTCATTTTATGTTCAGCATCTTGGGCACCTTTTGGTCACTGAGGGCGCTAATAAAGGCAGAAATCGAGACTCATGCGGTCCAGTTCTGATGATCTTGTGTGAATCACATCCCTGTTCTTGGCTGACAAGACACCAGGAGCTTTGAGGCTCATCATGTTGAGGTTCAGAGGATGTGATCTCCTTGGTTGGTACCAGTTGTATTTTAGGTTGCTGTTGAGTAGGGCTGTCGCAATAATCGCAAGAACAATATATTGCGATATTAAGAAACCCACCGCGCTGCATGAGGTGCCACCGCAATTACCGCACTTGATTAAATCTTGCGACAGCGCATGCTGAGAGGTAAAGTCCGCGCTGATCGAGGAGATAGTAGGGCACTTTTTTTTTAATTTCTGTTAGATGTTGCAGCCAAATTTGCATTTCAAAGTTAAACCTCCTGAATGTGTTGCTTTTAAGTTCAGTCAGAGAATGCCGTTACTGCCCTTTGATCTGCATTCAATAAAGTGTTAAAAATGGCCATGTATTTTTTTCTAACATTTTTTAAATGTGTAAGCACAATGTTTCAAAGGAAATATTGCCATGAGTTTAGTAATTAACAAACAAATTTGCTAAGTACATAAATAAAAACAGAGTGCAATAATATCGCATATCGCAATATTGAGCTGCCCTGATTCACCGCAGGGGGAATTCCTCAATCGCGACAGCCCTACTGTTGAGTCTCGATCACCTGAAACATATCTGACATCAACGAGACATTTTATCCACACAGCCTCCTCTCCCCTTTTCAGACCATTCAAACCCCTTGAGAGGGTTGTGGATTAAAGTCCCAGAAGATCAACAGTTCCTGAAATCCTCAGGCCAGGTTGTCTGGCTCCAACATTGTCGCCATGTTTAAAGTCGCGTGTAAGGCTGATCAGATCACTGGGATTACCTTCTCAAATGTAAGCGCCTCAGACTTTCTTCATGTTGATCAAAGGTTATAACAAACTCGAGCTGACGAAGATCCGCTTTGATCATTTCTACAAACACTGCAGCAACAGCTCTATCAGTGAGAAACAACAAGAAGAAAAAACACTTTATCCCAGTTTATTCTTTAAAAGGATTAGCTGGGTTTGCTGATGACAGGGAACACCTTCTAAAAATAGCCCTTATCAGTCAGCAGCAAGCTGCACCACCGATGCTGCTTCTCCAGCTTTGAAGGCCGCAGCATGACGTCACTCAGGTTGATGGAAGAACTCCTGATGAAGTGATTTCTGAGTTATGTTTTGATCCAGCCTTATCAGGCTCTTACAGAAAGAAACACTAACAAAAACAAACAAAACTGAGCCACATTTGCTTTTAACTCGCCCGTCAGTCTCTGTCTGTGTGAGTAAATCAATGAATCTGCAGCAGACAGCCCTCTTGCCCCCCACCCCGGCACCACACTATGTGCTAATGTTACATTATGTATTCATCGCCCGATGAGAAGAGAAAAAAAGCATTAGCTCGGTTCTTAATTAGGAAAAAAATGGGGAAAAATCAATTGGGGCATCATAGAGCCGGCTCCCTCCTTTCTCGTGTTTCAGCTACAAATAAGAAAGTCGATATGATCATTAAATTATGAAGGATTTTAGGAACAATCTGAAAATGTTTCTTTATATGAAGATTTCTTTGGGAGGAAACTTTATGGAGCAGCAGAAAAACTTTAGATGCTGCAGTTTGTCTTCTGACTTGTTTAATGTACTTTCTTTTATTTGCACGTAATCTTACACACACACACACACACACACACACACACACACACACACACACACACACACACACACACACACACACACACACACACACACACACACACACACACAAAGGGACCAGAGAACTGAGCCAGTAGGCAAACTCTAAAGAGCTCGGGGACAACGCTGTTCAGTGACAGACACAATACACAGATATTTTGGCTCCGGAGGTTGAGGCCAACCCAGCTCAACCTGTCCACTCATCATCTTTCTCCTTTTGCACAACAACTCAGTATTTCTGCAGCTCAAACTGTAGCTTTTTACAATCCCTGCTGCACCTCTCCTTGGCATGTTCCTACCTGAGGAGTTGAGCAGAGATCCGTTGGATGCCGACCGCCGGAGGATTCTCAGGCTGTCGCTCCAGGAGCGGGACTTGGGCAGCCTCTTCAGCAGCCTCCCCAGCCGCCGTGACACCTGACCGAAGCAGGCGCTGCTGGCTTCGCCCTCCGAGTCGCCCCTGACCTCCTCCAGACACAGCGACACCTGGCCAAGGAATGTCCTTCCCGCCCCGTCAGCTCTCCCTGTTGCCCCCTTGGCCTCCCCCTGCCCAGAGCAGAGAGGTGCTATCTGTGCCATGGATGGCGTTGGCACATGTTGGCACCATCCCACTGGCACGGTCTTGTGTGCGTAGCTGTCGCTGGACCTTCTGTCCTGTCGCCGGCCACCCCTGTCCCTCTGCGGACTGCCCCAGCGCCAGCCCACCCACTGCCCCCCTTTCCCATCCCAGCGGAGCCACTCTGCCACCGGTGCCACGCTCCGTGTAAACAGCCCCCTCTCCGGACGCTCTGCCACCCCTCCACCTGTTCTCCTCACACACTCCCCTATAGTCTCACCTCTTCTCTGTCCTGTCTTTACTCTGGTCTACACGTCTCACGCCTCAGATCAGAGACTGGAATCTCTGCGGTTTGCCTCGTTCCTCTCTCGCCCTGCTGTTTCTCTCTTACCTCTGTGTGTGTGTGTGTGTGTGTGTGTGTGTGTCTGCTGCAGCACCCACACGCTCTGCAGCAACAACCAGTCAGCTTAAAGAGACAGAGACCCCGAAAACTACCACTTTTTCTCCTCTTTGTTTTTTGTAACAGGAGCCTTCCTCTGTTCCTCTTCCCCGGTGGCTGACTTTCACTTGGAGGGCATTGTCACAGACAAGCACTGCATCCTCTCCGCTAAGCCCCGTTTTAAGTCTCCTCTAAGGATGGGAAGTGACTCAGCCAATCTCTAACCCCACAGCGGAGACATATCTGGTCTGTGTGAAGAGGATGCATCACCCCCAGTCTGTGTGGGTTGAAGTGACGCGATGAAACGTCGGTTATTAATATGCTCTGAGAAAAAGAGAGAGATGAAGAGCTACAGCGAGATCCTCTCCTGTCCTACTTCTGAAACAGAGGCAGCTGGGAGAACAGGACGTGCTCACCTGCTTCACTCACAAACATGCCGTCAGAAGAAGGTTCTGGCTGTGACAGAGGCATTTTTTTATTGATGTTGTTGTTTCTAAAGCAAATACCATCAGATATTTCTTTGCTAGAATGTCCTGAATTGTGCATTTCTGTACTGAACCACATCTGCCTCTGCAGCCCTGGGATCAGTACCAAGGCCAAACTAAATATAGCCTCAATAAAACATCTCCACAGGAACAACCAGAGCTGCAGAGAAACACCAAGAAAAGGACCAAAAATAACATTCAGGTTGTCAATCTTCAAGATATCTGCATTTCCTGTGACTGTGGAACGTCTCACTGTAGCTAAATTATGGTAAAACACAACTGAGTTCATGTGTGGCTGATCCACACAAAGGCACGCGAGGTCTGAAGAAACGTCTTTTTAGAGTCTTAGTTGGTCTGACAATGCGGTTTGTTGGGACAAGAAAACCAGTTGAAGAAAAGCGTCAGTTATACATCTTCCATGGAGATCTGGATGAGGTGAACCGCTGAGATGGCTTGTGAAACATTTAGAGGCTTTAAACTCCCTAAAGAGACACTGGGAATGTCATGAGGTACAAAGAGACCACAAAGATCTGCAGAAGATGATGTGAGGAGCACAAAATCAGAGCTTTGATTTGTCAGGGACACACCGTGTTTTACTTGAAGTTATTTCTGGGGGTGTGCATTGGCAAGAATTTTACGATGTATTGCAATACAGTGATATGAGCAATTTTTAAGACTGAATTTTTTTGGAAGTAGATGCTTCAAAATGCAACCTTAAAGGGATCCTTTGTGACTTTTTCACACTTAAAACATTTTCTTGAAAGGCCAACCAGCTCCTGTCGTCCCCTGTGGCCAGAATGTCACACTTGCAACTTCAGACTGGCGGGTCACTCTGTTGGAGCTGAGGTCTGCTTCCAGCACATTTCCTGCATGTTTTAGATCATAAACACTGATGACACAGCTGATTTAATTTAATGATTAATCACTCCTGTAGACACTAATGAAGGCTGGGGAGGCATTTCACCTGTTAGATTAAGATGTTAAAAAGATGAACGAACAGCGAGGAGATAAATTTTGCTTTCAGTTCTACAAATGGTCAATAGAGGGTGCCAAAAACAAGTCAAAACTGCCTAGTTCCGTTTTAAAAACAATTATAGTTTGTGATTCAGATCCATGTCTGAAGTGATTTAGGACATCGTTTATTGTCTTCTCTTATTGCTATTTTTGTTTTTACTGCTTCTACTTGATTTTACTGTTTTGCACTGACGGTTTTACTTTGATATGTAGCGTACCAAAAGGCCAAGTAATTCATCAAAAATGACCAGAAGTTAACCTTTAACTTGCAGGCCTGAACTATTTCTCCCTACAGGTCAATCTGACACCGTGGAGCCAATAGGATGAGATGAACTGGTGCGCCACGTCCTATCGGCACCATGGTGTCAGACTGACCTGTTGGTTTTTCATGAACCTGCCTGTGCAGAACTTTGGTCAGTGCTCACACAATATTTTATATATGCTATATAAATAAAGTGGTATGGTATCATGTAGTACTGAACCCCAGCCAAACATCTGGCATAAAAGAAAACAATGCTTTATTTTATCTATTTTTATAGACATATTCAGACAAGATTTCGAAACTAACCACACGGAACACTTTACAAAATGTATTGAAGACATTTCAAAACTTTTTAAGGGTCTTAATTTAACTTAAAAGTCAACTTCACCCATATTTTATTACATCTGCAGTGGCCTCTAGTAGGAATCAATGCCTTGTAAGTTGCTTTCTAGGAGAAAAAAGCTCTGGTGCTCCTGTTTCAGGAACTAGAAGATAACTTAATTTGAAGTCTTCTTTCCTGATATTTTGACATCTCAACTCTGATTGGACAACAGCAACACAACTCTACCTCTGACTCAAGTTTTCTTTGCAACATTGATGTTTTATCTCCACAAATAACATGCACAGTTGTGGAGTTGCTAATGCTACCGATTAGCTTCTATTAGTCGAGATGTTCTCTGCTGATTACTGGACTCTAGATGTCTAGAGTCAAGATGGGTGAGTTGATGAATGTTAAGTGACAGTGTGACGTGGATATGCGAGGGTTTTCAAATCCTAGTTTCATCATCTAATTTCTATCAGAAGATAATGCAGGAGATAGGTGTAGGAGACTATTTTCAAGTTCAGCCTGCATGAAAAATCCAAAGTGATCAATTATTTAAAAAAATATTAGTAAAAGTGGTATCTGTAAACCTACTAGTTAAATCATTTTCATTTTAAGACCCTGCTGATACTTTGGATTTATGCTCTCTACTACTACTACTACTACTACTACTACTACTACTACTATACTGTAGGTGTCTTAATTTAATTTAGGGAAGGAAACATAAGAAATGCCTCATCCTATTCCTTTTTGACCTAATTTACTGTTGTGTGTAGATGTATTTACTGGAAAGAATCTGGTGTTACAACAAATTGTGATACTAAAAGCCAGACAAAAACTCAGACAAAACAATTCCAAGACACCTCCAGCGTTATCGTGAGATCTCGTTATTCCATCAGAACACGGGCGATAACAAGTGCTACCACCTAGCAGTCGGAGTTTGACTTGCAGCACATAAATTCTCAAATAAAATCAATCCACTGCTTTTAAATACAGATTCAGTATCATAACATTCCATTTTGTGATATTTCAGTGTATGAATGTTGTCTTAAATCTCTAGTACTTTCTTTATGTGAAATTATGTTTCAAATGGCTCTGACCCCTCAGGTGCTCGCCTTGTCACACACAGCATCTACAAAAGAAGCAGAAATACACAAAATACCAGACCCACAACAAAGTACACAGTAATGCGGGTAGGGTGCAAACAACCGGTTCCAATTTTACACAACAACTAGAAACTATTTGAAACATGAACTAAAATAAATTTGCAAAGCTGCAATGGAAGGCACTTTTAAAATCATTTTTTCATTTTTTATATTTGTGAACAATAATAGATAATAGAATAATTACATGAAGTCATAATTTATTACTAAAGAGAAAAATTTTTGCAGAAAAATGCTACTTTTCTGTCATATTGAGGTTAATTTATTAATGTTAGTGTCTAAATTAGCCAGATTATTAATCTAAGCAGAAAGTTGATCAGGCTTTTACGTATAATAACAACTGACATGCTAAAATTACCATTCTAAAAAATTCCCACACAGCTGACTCTGTCATTTAAAAGGAAAAGTTCTGCAGGCTCCCCTCCTTCTGCCATGAGGAGGATCTGCATAACCCTGCTTACATCATGTATGGGAGGGGAGGAGTAGGAGGATGGGAGAGGGAGCTTTAAGTTTTAAACACTAAAACAAATGTTCTTTTACTGTCTAAATAATATTAGAGTCACATGCTACATTTCATAGCTACACAAATATTTGGGAACAACATTTTAATTAGATCCTATCATAATTTAATAACAGAGATGGGTATTTCTAGCATCAGCACCATCCATTTACAATTTGACAAATTTAGAGATTTTTTCAGAGATTTTGCTCGGAAAAATTCATTTGTAAATTTTAAAGTAATCTCTGTAGTTTTTAAATTACAGTTTAAAAACTTTTCATAACCTTAATTATATTTGCCTAATAGCCTGCTTTTGTTTGGAATGTTGTTTTATACACTGCCCGGCCAAAAACACATCCATCCATTTATGGCCGCTTATCCAGGGTCGGGTTGAGTCTGGGCCTAAGCAGGGAGGCCCACACTTCCCTCTCCCCAGCCACTTGGGCCACCTCTTCCAGGGGAATCCCAAGACATTCCCTGGCCAGCGAGAGACATAGTCCTTCCAGTGTGTCCTGGGTCTACCTTTAGCTCTTCTCCCGGTTGGACGTGCTAGGAAAACCTCATCAGGGAGGCGTCCAGGAGGCATCCTGACCAGATGCCCGAGCCACCTCAACTGGCTCCTCTCAATGTGAAAGAGCAGCGGGTCTGCTCCAAGCCCCTCCCAGATGACCAAGCCTCACACCCTATCTCTAAGGAAGAGCCCACCCTGTGGAGAAAATTTATTTTGGCCACCTGTATCCTCAATTTCATTCCCTCCGGTCACCACCCAAAGTTTGTGACCATAGGTGAGGGTAGGAACATAGATCCACCGGCAAATCGAGAGCATCACCTTCTCTCTCTTCACCACGACAGACCAGTAAAACGCCCGCATCACTGCATATGCAGCACCAATCCGCCAGTCAATCTTGCGCTCCATCTTTCCCTCACTCATGAACAAGACCCCGAGATACTGAAATTCCTCCACTTGAGGCAGGACCTCATCCCTGACCCAGAGAAAGCTTTAACTCAAGACCGTGGTATCAGATTTGGAGGAGCTGATTCCCTTCCCAGCTGCTTCACACTAGGCTGCGAACCGCTCCAGTGAGAGCCGGAGATCACGTTCTGATGAAGCCAACAGGACCACATCATCTGCAAAAAGCAGAGACCTGATCCTTAGGCCAACAAAAAGGATCCCCTCAACACCTTGCATGTGAGAAATCCTGTCCATAAAAGTTATGAACAGAATCGGTGACAAAGGGCAGCCTTGGTGGAGTCCAACTCTCGCCAGAAACCAGTCTGACTTACTGTCTCTCTTCTTACCTTGATGCACCATCACTCTGGAACAGGGTCCATCTGAACCCATCAGACCTGTTCTTAGCAATGTGTTGGACAATTCTTAACCCTCCCACTGTCCTAATGGGTGTGGCTGGGGTGAGGTGGTGCTCACCTGCCACATGGACCCAAGGGATAAACCATTAATCCTGCTCACTGGTCAACTTTCCTCGTGGTGTCACCCATAAAGACAATGGGAGGGTTAACCCAGTTTCAGTAATTTCTACAACCTCCTTAGATGTTTTCTCTGCTTGAAGCATACCCATGATCTGACCCTTCTCAAACAGACTAACATCTTTTCCATGACCACCAGATGTGTCTTTCCACATGGTTGTTGAAGAAACGAGAAGTAGCTCATTCCACCGGTTGGGGTTAAATAACTTGCTGGCAGCTGAAAGATAACCACCCATGCAGTAATTATCCAATAGGAGGCTCATGCCTATTTGCTTTGTTACAGCTGCTTTCAGAAATAATGTACGATTTGTCAGAAATCCATAAAAGCGATTGTCTCATCATGTTCTGTGATAAAATGTAAGCGATACATCTTTTTTTTTGTTGCTAAGCACGCCCCCTGCCCCGCAGAGCTCCCTACAATGGGAAACTGAGCGCCGACCAGAACTAACCAACAGCGTTAGACTAACGCTTACTTGCTTCAAATTTAAGGAATACCTCGGCTGATGAAGAGTTGATGAACTTTTCGCGGACAAGTAAGTCTCTAAAATATAAATATACGAGAACACAACAGGACATGAGAATAATACTCGTAAAACAACATGTTTTAGCTCCGTTTGTTGGCTACAGAAGCACATTTATAAACAACAAACGTGAAGTCGCCATCTTACAAAAAACAGAACGACAGACTTTTGGTGTGATATGCTTGTCAGCCACTAGATGGTGCCATCGGATAAGATACATACTCCGGTAAGCTTTAAATCCAGGCGTTGACTTTTTGGGGGGCCGGGCTGTGTATGCAGCTTTTATTGTTTACATGCGTGTTTCTTTTGTAATTCAATCTCCTAATCTTGTCTAAAACTAAAAAATCTGATTATTATTTTTAAAAATTTCTGTCTGCAAAAATAATCATGATTAAGTGAATATGTCGTTATTTTGATTAGCAAATAAACACTTTCATGCTGAATAAATGAAAAGTAAATCAAATTGATATTTAATTAACTATTAAATTCAAACATGCAGTCTCTTAATAAGCACTAAACGTCTGTTATTAGCAGAATTAATCTGCTGCCTTGGAGTTAAACACAGGGTTAAAAGAGCAACCCGTTAAACTCAGATTACACACAGACATGTCTTGCTGTTTTATCCGAGACTGTATAAATGAGGCTGCTTAATCCAGTAAGTCAGAGCATCAGATCCACAACAGCATGTGTCCCTGAAACCATTTAATTGCATATTAATCTGACATCTGACTCTGTATGTAATCCCAATTACTCCACTGCTGGGATGTAATCCCAGACAGGAGACACTCAAGAGCTGGGATTAAGAAGCTCCCCTCCGTGACGTGTGTGTTTTCATATCATCCCCTATTAAATCAGCAAAACAGAACAAGATTATTGCCCAGTAACAGTCTGACTCTACACATGGCTCAGATATTCCTGCAGCGTCTTTGTACATGCTGAGTTGGGATGTTTTATCACATGACTCTATGATTTAGCTGCCAAGAAGAGGAATAAAGACAGAAACTAAATGAGAGAGAAAAAAGAAACCCACAGATGTAGTTGAAAGCCAGAGGACGACGAGACTGGGAGCTGACTGACAGATTCCTCTGCAGGGCAAGGCCACAACAGTCCCAGAGGGACAAGCTGCTGCGTCGCCGTTTCTACAGGATTCCTACGCAACAAAGGCGCAGCAGGCTGAGAGAGGGCAATAAATGAGAGGAAATGCAGCAAAGCAACAAAACAAAAAGACGCTCATTTGTTTCCGTCTCATATTCCCTGTCATTTCCAGGGTGTAGTTGAGAGACGATAACGTGTTCTTCTATTTCGGCAGTTTCGCTTGTTTCTCTTTTCCCCTAAAATACCTTAAAATGCCTCACTGTGTACTGTGTGGTTTACCCTCGTGACCGTGCACGAGGTTCACCAGGGATGCTTAGAGGAAAGAGAGGAGAAGCGTCCAGGCTGCAGGCCAGAAAAAGAGAAGCTAGAGAGAGAGAGAGAGAGAGAGAGAGAGAGAGACAGAGAGAGAGAGAGAGAGAGAAAGAGAAAGGAAAACACAAGTGAAGTTCTAGGGTTGTGAAAACCTGTGTGTGTGTGTGTGTGTGTGTGTGTGTGTGTGTGTGTGTGTGTGTGTGTGTGTGTGTGTGTGGAGGGATTATTGCTTCAGTAATCTCGCTCCAGCGAGCTCTCGCCAACAGCACACTAAATCAGACAGCTCTGCAGAGCCGGACCAACTCCTTTGTTCACATTAGATCTTTCTCTCAGCCTGCCTGCAGTTTTACATCAAACCAAGCTACGTGTCATCTATTCTCCGATGAAAGTGTCCCAGTTGAGGGATTGAAAGGGATTATCCTTTAAGTGTTCCCATTCCTTATCAGTTCCCCTTTCCCTCCTCACTCCTTTCATCGCCTTCAGTCCTTTGGTTCATCCCACCCTCCTCATGACAGAGTGCTGCTGACACAATGCTAGCTCAGCATGAACACACACTCACACACACACTGGATGTACAGTATGTGCACAAATAAACTCACAAAGGCTCTTCAGGTCGTCTGTGTGTGTGTGTGTGTGTGTGTGTACATGTCAACACAAATTAAAGCTGTAAACACCAATGCAGGTGGGAGGAGAACAACCCTGAAAGACTGACTCATGAAATCAGGGGTTTCCCTCACTCTGAGTGGGCTTCTTTAGGGGTGATCAACACCAACATCTGTGTCTACATTTGATTGGAGTTTCCTGACTTTTTCTAAATAAAATTTAAAGTTTTTTTTGTCTTGATTGACAAAATAAAAGCCTAATTTAGTCACGTAATGGCCAAATCACACATCTCAGATACATCGGGACTCTTTTTCTCTGTTACCTGCAGGTCCTTGCAGCGTTTCACCACTGCAGCATCATAAATTCACCATCTTTTCTACTTTACTTGCGTGTTAAGTCTGTGAGGCAAAGTCGAAAGAGCGATATAACGGGCTTATATGGCTGGATCCGTGGACAAAGCGATTAGAAATGTCCTTCTGCAGCACTGGCTCGCTCTCAAAGTCCCCATTTTAGTGTGTGTGTGTGTGTGTGTGTGTGTGTGTGTGTGTGTGTGTGTGTGTGTGTGTGTGTGTGTGTGTGTTTCATATACTAAATGAATCAGAACCGTACACTAATGCATGTTCTGGAGGAGTTTTCTCTCAGCCTGACTCACTCTGACACTTGACCACCTGCGCGCTGATCTCCCGGCTGCAGACATCACACCAGTCCTGGTTCACCGGCTGGCTCTCGAAGCGGTGACCCTCGCCCCTTTCAGTCCTCACACGTGGATCCATCTCCTGCGGAAAGATGGACCAGGCCTCGGTGCGGTGAGGTTCGGTCCGGGCCAGCTTCACGATCCCTGTCCTGCTCTGTGTGAGCCGCTCCAGCGGCAGACCGCCGCTCTCCGGGGGGGAAACCACATCGGAGGAGACGCTCTGGTGACCGGTGTGTCCACTCCGACAGCTCCGTCTCAGAGAGTCCCGGTGCCGGAGTGACCGTTTGTTCCCGCTTGGAGTCAGTATGGCGTTCTCCTTCAGAGAGCCCCCCCGCCGACTTGAGTCATATTTGTGGCTGTAGCCATCGACGTGCCCATTCTGTGACCTGCCGCCGCCGCTGTCCTCCGGGTGCGGGCTACGTGGCGCATCAAAGGCAACCGGGGCCCAGCATCCCTCCCTGGGCATTCTCTTCCCTCTTCCTCCGGCTGGTCCAGGAGCCTCCTCGGTCCTAACCGGCTCCAGGTCATCGCCGCTCCTGGTGAACATCATCTTCTCCCAGGACGACTTCCTCGGCAGGGTGATTTTCGTCTTGGTGCCGGAGAGTTTGAAGAGCAGCACCGGCGGTTCCGAGTCCAGCCTGTGCGGACCGGGCTGCTGGCCCACCACGCTCACAGACGCCATTGTCGCGTTCGCCTTGAATGGTTGTGTGTTCGGCGGGTCGGAGTGTGAAGAAATGCGTGTTTTGACTCCGTGCCTCGATTATAAACTCAACTCCCGCCAGTGACAAACGCGTCGTGACGCAAAGTACCAACAGCTTTAAATGCCGTGAGCGCGCTCCTGGCGCACTGATGGGCGCGCGCGCTGTCCCACCAGCCAAGGTTCATCCAGAGCACTAAATGGTCTTCCTGTATCGTCAGAAGGTTAAAACTAAACAGTTTGTAATGAAAGAAAATTACAGTTAAATAATAACACGTTTTATTTATAAAAGCGCCTTTCAAGACACCCAAGGGCAATTCACAACAAGTCAGATAAAAATAATCATAAACACATAAAATATTAGATTAAAAAATATTTTCTCTTTAAATAGTCAAGATAAACTTGAAAAGAGTGAATACTTTTGTTTTTATTTGAATATTATCTTAATGTAAAACAGAACTAAAACATAATGTGTGTGGGCTAGAAAGTGTTTGTAATTTTCCAGTGACAAACGCGTCATATGAGCAGTTCATTACAGCCTCCTTAACCCCCCCCCCAGCACACACACTCCTCCTACACTCACTTTCTGAAATCAACATCAGCTTATGCTAGTTTAAAAAAAAAGGGGGGGGGGGGGGGGGGACTATTTTCCCCAAAGGTCAGACCACACCACGTGATATTTTTAAATGTTTTTTGGTATATTTTCACTGAAGTGTGCCATCCCATGCACTTCTGTTTTTGGTGTTCTAAGGAACTGTGGCGCCAACGGACTTTCCCTAATAGTGGTCATCTTCACCATTGATGGAGGGGAATTACATGTTGGTATAACTCCCAATGAAAACGAAAAAAAAAACATGACTTATCAAAAACACAAAAAGGAATATTAAAACAGAATGTGTATATTCACTCTTTACTAATTTATTAGTCAAATAAACCAGAAAAAGTGGAAAATCTGAAACAGTTGGAAAGACGAAGACAATAAATATTTTATTTGATTTTCACCTTTTAAAATCTCTGTCGTCTGCCTTACACAGATCCTGACAGATGTGATGGTTGCAAACTGCCGTCAGGACGGCACAGATCATGATTTTCTAAACACAGATCAACACACCAACATGAAAATCTGATTTACACAAACAAAAATCCTAATCAGGCTATGAAACGCTCTCATAGAGGCCATATGTTAAATTCCCAAGTGCTTCTTAAGTGGGCAGAAACAGGAAATGCAGCCAGTAAACCAGCTGACTGGGCATTGGCTGTTTCATCTACAGTCTGTCACCATGGCAGCCTATTAAAAATACAATCACACACATTAACGAGGTTGGTATCAGCACACACACTAAACATCCATCTGCGGCCTATCCCACATCTCTGTGCATCCGACATTTAATCAGAGATTCACATTTTATTGATTGTTTGAAATAGCTTCCTCTTTTTATAACAGCCTCCATCCATCTAGAGAACCGGTCCGCCGCGCAGCAGAGGCTGTTAAAATGAGGCGATGCAGGTGGAGCCATGTCACAGCGTGGAGGGCCTGGCTGGGTTTGGATCCAGAGCTGCAGAAGAGTTCACTGCTCCCAGACTACTGGACCAGAACAATCATCATCAGAAGAGTTTGGATGTTAAACACGTTAAAGACAGCAAGAACTGACCTCTCAATAATGTTGTTGTTGCACTGAAGCTCCCTCACCAAAAGCTCCATCTCCTCCCTCAAATGGTGCATCCTAACACAAAAAAGATCTGTTCTCAGGCAACTGCCTCCATGTTTTACACATTCACACAATCCTACACTTATCCTTATTATGACTTTGACACGAAGGCCAGTCTTTGGAGAAAGCCTCAACAACACAAAAAGCATTAAATCACACCTACTGCTCTACGTGAGAACCACATGACGTGACAACAAGCACAGACACACCTGGACACCATCTGCTCCCTGTCCTTTGGCGTGATCCCTGGCTGTTGTTCAGCTCTCTCAGACTGTAGCGTGTGCAGGACTCTGCCCATAGCCTGACAAGGTCAACACGAGACATTAGAGCAGGGTTCTGGAGCTTTGCTTTCTTTTTAGACCTTTATATTTTCACTCATGCCTGTTAGTTACAGCGTTCTTGATGGCGTTCCCCCTCATTTCCCACCAAGTTATCCCTTTTCTCCATTTCTTTGCTCTATATCATACAGACACTATCATTTCTCCACTACTCTGGGCTTAAACCACCCAGATAACATTTAAAACTAAACCACACCCCTTGAAAACAAATTTGAGATAAAAAGGAAATTAAAAAAAAAACATTTTAAAGGATTGGTTTACTCGTTTAATCAATGCAGTGGTCTCTCGTAGTGATGGGAATTCCGGCTCTTTTTAGAGAGCCGGTTCTTTCGGCTCCCAAGTGGCTCCTCAGATTTTCTGTTGCGAAAGTATATTTATCACCAAAAATAATGCAAAATTATATGTAAAATGATTTACTCATGTAAAAAAATATGCAATATATGAAATATTTATCATTTATATGAATTTATTAACCGAACACTTTTAAGAAATCTCAACTTTCCGACTGCTGTCGCCCATTTTCTCATCGTCTTCGTCGCACTCTCCTCTCTCGCTCGCCTTTTTCCTCCTCATTCCCTCTCGTTTCCCTCCGCCCGCATGTGCTCTTCTGTGTGTGTGTGTGTGTGTGGGGGGGGGGGCTCCCAATGACAAGCCGGCTCCCGTCGTTCACTTCATAGAGCCGGCCTTTAGAGCCGGTTCGTTCGCGACCGACACATCACTAGTCTCTAGTAGGAATGAATGCATCAGGGAGGAAAAATATGCCGGTGCACCATTTCCAGGAACTAGCAGTGACCCACATCACAGCTGATGGCAGGTTTTGAAGTCTTATTTCCTGATATTCAGACATCTCGCCCCAGACTGGATAACAGCAACGTGACTCTACCACTGATGATTTATCAAATAACACAAGCATGGAGGAGTTCTGCCATGTAGTGGAGTTGCTAATGCTAGTGGTTAGCTTCTACTAGCCGGAACATTCTCTGCTGTTTCCTGGACGCTAAACCAACAACAGCCTTCCCCGTTGTGGGTCAAGATGAGCGAGTCCATGAGTGTTAAGTGACAGTGTGACGTAGATCTGTCAGGATTTTCTAATCCTGGAGTTTCACCGTCTGTTTTCTTTCAGAAGCTAATGCAGGAGATAGGTGTAGGAGACTATTTTCATGTTCCGCATGAAAACCTAATTGACTAATTATAATTAGAAATAATCATAACAAAGGGGTTTTCAGTGTTCCACACCTTTAAAGCTGTCATGGCTCTGCCATCAACTTTGTCGTTGGTTTCCACCTTACTTCAACATTAGGGCTGGGCAATAAATTAAAAACTTATCGTTATCAAAATTTCTGACTCTTAGAGATAAATTTTTCCATCCATCCATTTTCTGAACCCGCTTGGTCCACGCAGGGTTGGGGGGATGGGGGCTGGTGCCTATCTCCAGCTGTCTACGGGCAATCAGGCGGGGTACACCCTGGACAGAGAGCCAGTCCATCGCAGGGCAACACAGAGACACACAGGACAAACAATCAGGCACACACACACACCTAAGGACAATTTAGACAGACCAATTAACCTAACAGTCATGTTTTTGGACTGTGGGAGGAAGCCGGAGTACCCGGAGAGAACCCACGCATGCACAGGGAGAACATGCAAACTCCATGCAGAAAGATCCCAGGCCGGGAAGCGAACCCAGGACCTTCTTGCTAACCACTGCGCCACTGCGCAGCCATCAATTTTCCCATCTCAAAAAAATTGATAATAAAAAAGGAAAAGATGTGTGTAGGTTGGCAACTTTCATGTCCCTTTAATAAGCTGCACCACCTTGAGTCACGTAAAAATGTGACTCAACGTAATACATGTGACAGCCCCATCTAGTGGACAACTTGTAGTTATCGTTCATTTATCGTTATCGAGGTGAAATCCTCAATATATCGTGATATTGATTTTAGGCCATATCACCCAGCCCTATTCAATATTATCTGCTTTTAATTACAGTCTTGCTGTTGATTTTCCCATAATATCCACTTTTTATCATGATGTCAGAAGGTTGTTGCTTCTGTGATCGCTCTCTTCACAAAAGTTTAGTTTACTGATTATACTTCTCTGTACTAGAACACACAGCATTGGGGCCAAATGTGTTTCAGTCCTCAAGATACTTTTATTTCTCTACATTTTTCCAGAGCAGATGGAAGCTCTGAGAGAAGTCGCTCACTTCTCCACAAGTCCTCCAGCACCACCTGAATATCCTGCTACTTATGTGATGGGTGACGTACCTATTCCATTCAAATTTTCTCCACATCCAGCTGTTAACTTCTGTCTAAACCTAAATGTGTCCTCGTGTGTTTTACTGTTAGCCTCTAAATGACATCCCTATTATTAAAAAGGATTCCTCTTGTGGCTCAACACATTTTTGATATAAAAACTTTTTTTTTTCCCAATTAACCTTTTGCATTTAATAACGGCAGCTCATCTACTCTGGTCCTTTACTGAGTCCTTTTCTACCTTTCCCTATTTCTGAAGATATTGCTTCGGGCGTGAGTGTCTATAAAAATAACTATTTGGTCATTTAAAGTCCTGTCGGAAAATCTGACTGCTAAAAAATGTAAAAGCTGCGCCACAAACAATCATTTTTATTTCAAACCCTGCATCTAAAGCTCCATTCTCAAAGTTATAAATCTGATTTCTAGACACAGTCAAAGGTCCAAAACAACAAACGAGGTAACAGCTTTAGTCTCTCCCTCTCACTCCTCTCCTACAGGACCACACAGGCCTGCAGCTGTATCCATGTGTTGCCTGTGCCATGGTTACGCCTGACTCTCAGACCGTTGAAACAATAATAACAGGATAGCTTCATTTTACACAATAAATTACAGACTGAGGGTGAAAAAATATGTTTTGAATGTAGAAAATATTGCACCATAGCACTGATGTCATTAACAGGCATGGATACAGATGCTGTGCTGTTTGGTCCACATCTGGACTGTGAGAATGATGCGTCAGAGCTTCTGGGATGCGAAAACAAGAAAAATCATGAAAAAGATGAAGATAATAATTTGTTTACCTGATTTTGGTGCTGCTCATTCATTTCCAAGTCTGCCAACAAGCCGGTGGAGAAAGAGCCGAGGTCCTGTAGCCTGGTCTCTATTTCCATCATTGTGCTGCAATCAGAAATGAAAGTAACAATTAAAAATGCTTCGTCCTTCCAGCGGCTCGTATTTTAACTGAATGATTATAAATGAAGTTTAAGCTAATGTTTAAACTCTGCAAATGCACGAAAACCTACAATTTAACTTAAAACACTTTAAAACCATAAAATGTTTATTTATACAATAAGTATGTTTAACCACAAAATGAAAACAACGAAAACGAGCAACCTTGGAATAAAAACTAAAACAATAGTGATAACGGTAAATCCTGTAAATCTGTTCATTTTAGGGTAATTAGCTCCTGTTCTGACCTGCTCCATGCCCTGGTCGAGGCCAGCAGCTCCTTATATCTCTGCACACATTCTTCTCTGAAGACAGACTTGACTTTCTTGATGTGGGAGGACAGGTGGATCCTGAAGAGGAGACACAGGAGTTGTGATGCTTCACACTCAGGGACACATGAATCTGTCAGCTAAAGGCTCCAACTCACTTCTCAAACTTGTGGATTTGCTCATCGTTATAAGCCAACTCTGGAAAAGAGAAGAGAGTAAACAAGGCCAATCACACTACTGACACCAAACATTTGTGGGCTCAAACAAGAGAAGCTCCCTTACTGCCCGTCATTCTGTCTTTTCGATAATGCTGATGGATCGCGGTGATCTTCTGCAGCAGCATCTCCATCCTCTGACGGCTGAGGAGGAAACGGGTGAGAGATCAAAAACAGTGACTCCTTGTTGATTCTGAAGGCTTCCAACAGCACCTCTTGTCATTGGCCAGAGTGTCTACCAGCTTGGCCTGTTCGATCTGCAGGCGCTCCAGTCGATTGTGGAAGTCCTGGATTCCAGCTGTGTACACAGGCAGGTGCTCATGAACCTGAAAGTACAGCAGCCACAGATTCCTTTCAGTTTCAATCCCGCAATATTTACGTGGCAAGAAGATGATTATCCTTCATTAAAGTTTACTTCTTGTAATCTGACTGCAACTTACAATGTCTGATCTATAACCCTGGTTCTTAAGAGTCTGGATGAGGGCACCACCGCGGGTTGTTACACATCTAAAAATGCACTTTGATGTTTCAAAACATAGAAATAAACATAATCGTGATGCTTTTACCAAACAAATAAACAAATTGCCTCTGGTAGAAACAATCGTAACGGCTACAGGTGGTTCAGAATGCCTGTGCTCGGCTTCTGACCAAGTCCTCCAAACACACCCACATCACCCCGCTTCTCCTCCAGCTTCACTGGCTGCCAGTCAACTTCAGGGTTCATTTCAAGATCCTGGTTCTGGTCTACAGGACCTTACATGGACAAGCACCATCATACATTGGTGATCTTCTTAGTCCCTACACCCCCAGCAGGTCCCTGAGGTCCAGTGATCAAAGCCTACTGGTTGTGCAGCGCACCAGGCTGAAGGTCAAAGGTGACAGATCATTTGCTGCTGTGGCCCCCCAGACTCTGGACCTCTCTCCTCCTGAGCCTGAGATCAGTGGACTCAGTGGTCTCCTTTAAAAAGCAGCTGAAGACTCACTTGTTCAAGCTGGCTTTGGTGTGACTTTCATCACCCCCTCCTTGTTCTGCTCTCCCCACCTATTCCACCTTCCTCAGGATCCACTGATTTCCCTCTTTCCTATTCACTCTCTCTCTTTCTTAACATTTTTTTATCACAATTGTCTCTTTTTGCTCATTTTAAATATATTTTTAAACATTTTCTAAATGCTTTTTTATAATTTTACATTTTTTGTTTTTGTGAAGCGCCTCGTGATTTTTACCTTCAGAGGCGCTATAGAAATGATATTTTCTTCTTCTTCTTCTCAGCTCAGCTGGTCGAATAATTTGTCCCATCACCCAACCCTAAATATTACAATTCATTTGTTGCTGAGTTTTGCTGCTTGTTATCCGAGTGACCTGCTGACCCCTCATCAGCCAAACAGAGCGTTCCGCTCTTCCAGCACCTACTGGTGGTCCCAAGATCTAGATTCAAACAGTGAGGGGTGGAGCTTTCTCAGTGGCGGGAGAAAAAAAAAAGCTCCAGAATGGTCTGTCACTAGACATGTGCTCCATAAGGGACCTCTCTTTGTTTGAGGCTAAACTGAAACACCACTTGTTCTGATTGGCTTTTGTTGGGAACCGATGTCACCGTGGTGATAACTATGCACTTTCATTTGCTGCTTTTAGGTTTCTGTGTTTTTATTGTTGTTCAGCGCCTTGAGCAATGCTTAATAAATACAATTTTGATTAAGAGTGCAAACATGCATGCAGCGAGCTGCAGCGTGGCTTTATCACAGTGAAACCACAGAAGAGATGTACGAAAGGGTCTTTTATGGGCTTTCCACAATACTTTCTAAAGTGTTTCACTCAAGATTCATCAGTCAGTTTTATTTTGGTATATTTAGTGAAGCTGTCTTGTTTCTTTTAGAAAGAACAACAATAACTGTTCAAATGTCGTGAAAATGTTTATGCAAACCCCAAAAAGTATCACTTTAATAATGTAGACTGCATCAGGTTTAAATCTAAACAGATTTTAGGAAATTATCGTTGGAACAAAATTTCCTGAAAAGTAAAAAAAAAAAAAAAAAGAATGTTGTTGAATCTTTAGCGAGGACTCAGCTTCTGCCTGACTGTCGTTTCATTTCATGTTTAATTTGATCTAATTTAGTAAACATTCAATTATAAATGAATGAAATCTATGTGTTAACATGACTGCAGTATGTGAGTAATTTTAGAAACCCAACAGCTTTGACTCGAGTGCTGATCTCACCAGCTGCAGCTTTTGACCATTATTAGCCAGTGTTGGACCTTCGGAGGAGTAAGGAGCTCTAGGAGACAAAGAAGACACAGAAAAGGTGAATCATAAATCAAACACTCACTAGAACTTCTACAGATACGGGGCGAAACACTCACAGTTTAGAAACTCTGTGCTGTGCAATGAGGCAGGACTGCAGTCTCATTGCGATCATTGCAATCCTGTGAATAGCTTCTCTGCACTCCTGATGTAACTTCATCCTAGAAGAAGAACCCCTCAGACTAACGCATGATCTTTGAGTAACACTTTAAAATGAGACTCCCCTAATAAATGAGTTAGTTAACATTTACGAAATGATTTTAAACACATTTATTATCCGTTTTTAAGGGGAGCCTTGTTGTAACGTGGCACTGATCTTTGTTTTATTGAACATTTGTCTCACATGTAAGTGTAAAATCCCTGCAGCAGCAGCTCTCTGTGTGTGTGAAGCATCTGCACAATCCTCTTGTACTGGTGGACCACACCGACTGTCGCCTAAAGGCAAAGAGAGCTTTACTGGAGAATGCACGAGCGTTGAAGGTTAATGGTAAATCTAGCTTATATGAAGATGAAGTAAAAAGTAGATCCTGGTGGAGTAAACAGAAGTATGAGCAAAGCAGCAGTACCTTGGAGAAACTGTAGTCTGCCACCAAATCAAACCTGGGTGGAACAGGAGAAGTCTCGGCTGCAAAGGGAAGAGAGAATCCTAAATAAAGCTTTGTGTGAAACCAAAAACAAGAGTTAGTAAAGGCATCCCAGGTGTCTGCCTGTCTCACGTTCCCTGAAGGGCAGACCGGCGTTGGCTCCAGCAGGAGGGCTGAGCAGAATGAGAGGCTGAGTCTGCGACGTACTTGGAAGGTTGACCACCTTCATGTTGCCCTCCAGGGGCAGGTCATGTCCCAGGTACATGAGGCGCTGCTGCTGTATGCCCACGCCCGTCTGAGACGCCACCTCTTCAAAGAACATCGACACTCTGGTGGACCAGAGGGAGGACATCTTGAGCCATAAGTGCAGTAAAAAAAAGTAAAAACCATCAAATCTGTAACGGATTACCCAGAGTCGTGGCAGCCATGGTGGTTTTTTTTTTTAGGTTAAAAACATTTTGAAGAGAGAAACCCCGGTGTGGTTTAGTCATGAGTCATTTTGACCAGAATGTTCCTCATTGCATAGGTTGAAGTTGGTCTGATGTTTGGCCTGTCTCCTGGTTCAGTTTGGGGTTGTTCTTCATAGATTAAACTTTAGAATTCGCTGTTTTCTTCAGTCATCATTACCTTCTGCCTCCTCTACGCGGTCGTTGTCTACCAGATTATTGTTGCAGAGGTTTCTGGGCCGCCCAGCTTTCCCGTTAGCCCCGTTGTACGTGTGCAGAGCCTTTTCGTAACAGTACCAGTTATTGTTACCTCTATCGGCCCGTTCCCTGCCTCTCGGTCCTCTCTTCACAATTCAAAGCTGACTTCTGACTTATTGCATCATAACAAGACTGCCCTTCATTTTATGACCAAAAACAATAAACACATTTCTTTATTGTATAAAATATTGGTAACTAAAAGGCTACAAATCAGACATCACACATTTGACATGATTCTCCCCAGCGTAGCATGTTCAGATTTATAGTGGTTTTCTTGGCGTTTAAGGCTCGTGCAGCCATTTTCCTTCTCTGTTTCTGGTTCGATGATGTAAACGTGGTGAGACGAGCGGTTGGGAGTACCTCACATCTTTTTCCACAAAACCTAAAATAACCTTTTCTGCCTGAAAAATATAAGCTCTTTCTTGGCTTTAAAATGTGTCTTTAAAGTTCACAGACATCGTATGTGAGACCAATAGCACTAATCAAACAGGATCAGGAAATAACTCGATCCTTTCATAGACTCCCAGTCATTTTTGCTTTTTGGCAGTAGTGGACACACGGTCTGGAAGTAGGTGGGCGTGACTTGGGCTCCTTGCGGGATTACCGCCTCCCTAAACAGCTCTACGTGTTAACTAAAATATTCATGCCACTTATTCAGCACCAGATCATGACTCTCACATTAGAAGACCATGTAGGCTTGCATTATTAATTTTTTCTGCAAGGCATTAATTAACAGAGAGGAAAAGCTTTTGTGCAAACAGTTTGGGATTATTAGGATTACAGAGATCTGCACAGACTCTCTCTCCTAAGCTCATTAAAACTACTACGGTCTCTTCTGTGGACAGAAGAAATGTCAGCTAAGGTCTGTCATAATTAGCAAGACTTATCATAAACCTGTTCTTAATGAGATGATTTGGATCAGGAAGTGTGTGCACGGACGGGTCTGGGTGGACATACGTGTTGTAGTGGTGGATGTAAATACAGTGAGCCACGGCCTGCTGCAGGGAAAAGAGGTGAACCGGCTGCCGCTGTAAGATGTCCGCTGTCGCTGTAAAGAACTGGTCAAAACCCCAACACCTCTCCTGGTCAGCTTCCATTATGCCTGCGAGTACTGGGACCACCAGAGCCTTCAGACCTCTGGAACAAAGGAGGTGCACCAGTCACTTGTTTGGGTTGAATCATCCCTTTGGAGTATTTTTATTGGATGACATACTGTGAGAGTTGGCAGCTGTGAGGTAGGTGGTAACTCCACTCTATAGGTCCACCTTCCACCCGCTGTAAGCCGCCTATCGCCCCCATTGGCTTCTCTGTTGTTATCTTGTACCTGCATGCAAAAAACAAACAAATAAAATAGGATTTCAGCATTTTAGCACTGAAACGCACACCTGCCAGCAACGCTTCGTCCAGATGTTTATCTTACATGATGAGCTTGTTCTTGCGAGGTCCTTCGAATGGTGTGAAGGGAAGACTCCCGGTGGCGGAGTGGTACAGGGTCACCCCGATGCTCCACAGGTCAACACTCACTCCGTAGGTTTTCTGATGAGGCTTACGCAGCACGGCCCGCTCATACATGTCAGGGTGCTGGGAACACACAGTATGTAACGCCTCACGTTTACTCGATTTACCACCAAACGACCCGACCCGTTCTTTTATTTTTTCTACGTAACTTGAGTTTGGGGATTATAACGTTTATTTGAAACAGATTCATCTACAAGCAGCTGCTGCTCTGTAATTAGAAATACCAAATGCAATGAGTAAAATTAAGTTTAGATCAAACGAGGGACAGTAAAAGGAACTGTCACGAAAAGGCTGCAAGCACAAAAGCTAAATAAAAGATTTAACAAATGACACAAACTCGCAACTTCATAAAATAGATGCTGTGGTTTTAATCTAAAAACACTGTTGCTGCAACATGATGGCGTCCATCTTTGAACCGACCAGAGAAGGCCATGCTGACTCTAAACAGAGCCTACGATGTTTTAGACCAGCTTAACTATCGATGAGGAGGGGGGGCTGGTGTCTAACTCCAGCAGCCCATCACAGGGACACAGAGTAATGGCTTTGTCCACCAAACATGCATGTTTTGGTCTGCAGGAGGAAACTGGAATACCCAGGGAAATGCCAGGCATGCAGGAAGGCTGCAGCTGGAATTCGAACCAGCCACTTTCTCGCAGCAAGGTAACAGTGCTAGCCGCTGCACCGCCATGCAGCCGAAAATTTTATGTGTTTTAAATATTTCATACAAACATCTTTTCTGTACTAATGTAACTTTTCACAAATCCTTCAGAACTTTTGCTTACGGCTTCAGTGGCTTATCTGCTTCGGTCAGAAAATAATCTGACAGCACAGTCAGTGGGCAGCAAACATGTGAGCTTGTTCACTGGATTATAATCCTACCAGATACTCTTCAGTCCCATAAATAGACATAAACTTCTCGTCATCGTCCAGCTCCCTTGCTGCTCCGAAGTCCGTCAGCTTGTAAACCGATTTCCCATCGTCTCCAACTTGCCGCATGATGTTCCCTGGCTTAATATCCCGATGCACCACGCCGTTTTCCCTCAGGTGATTCATTCCCTGCACTGTAGAGAACACAATGAAGGGTGACTGCTAGCTCAGAAATAGAAATACGTTAAACTAGAGCGCACCATTTGCCTACTCACCGATGCACTGCAAAACAGTGAGGAACTCAGTTTCTTGCAAGCCAAAGGCATTTTCTGGATCCTCGAGCAGGCTGAGCAGGTTCCCTCCGGAGCAATATTCCATCACTAGAACCTTCTCCTTGGACGGCAGCTGTTTAGAGACAAACAGAGGGTTTTTAATAAATATCCACTTTGAGGAAATGGGGGAATAAATGAGACCAGACCAAAGATCATAGTGTTTCTCACTGTGATGGTTACGTTACCTCCTCAACAGCAAACAGTCTGACAATGTTGCTGTGGTTGAGCTTCCTGAGCATCTCAAACTCTCTCATTTGGACATCCTGGGGGCGGTGGTAGCTCTGGATGTTGAACACTTTGACAGCGACCAGCTCACCTGATTTCTGCATGAACACACATTTCATATCAGACATCACAGCTTCACAGGAGAGCGTCAGCAGCACGCCACATCACTGGAACCACAGCTTTCTTCTGATCTTTGATGTTACTGCTGAGCTAGAAACAAGACCAAAGCCTCTGAGACGACAAACGAAACACACAGATTCGGTTTCCTGGGAGTCGCTACCTTGTTGCGTGCCTTAAAGACACTAGCTGTGGCTCCTTGACCCAGGACATCTTGTAAAGACCACAGATAGTGAGTCGTACTGGCTGTTATCACCGACATCCTGGAGAGGAACAGAGAAAAATAAACATTCAGTAGAACTGACATTTGGTCTTGTAGGTTAGTTAGTGATAATTTAGCTGGTTTGTTTCAGTAACCTGTGTAATGCCAGGAACTGGACTGGAAAAGTACGACCTGACATAACCTTGATTCAAAGGTCAACCTGCAGATCATAAAATGCTTGGGCACTAAACTGAATATATTTTGTACTTATATTCTGAAAATGTCTCATGGTCGCACCATGCAAATCAGTGTTCTTGACCCAGATGAGGATATTTATGAACTTGGGCCAGCCTCCTGCACCTTTAGGGAAATTTTTTAAAGAGGTGGTGACATTTCTGATAGCAAAGAATCGTCATTTCTGGTAGCATTCAATACAGATGTCTGTTAAAGATATAAACCATTTAATTTTATTTGATTGTTTTTGACTTTGAATGAAGTAAGGCCTCTTTTTTTAATAAAGCAAATGAAAATTATTGATCCGATCAAATGAATTACTGTTAAGTAAAATGTTTTGTTGTACCAAAGTTTAGTTTGACATGAGTCTTTTTTTAAATAATGGTATGTAAATAACAACATGAGGGTGAGGGAAGTAGAAAGGTTTTTATAGTTCCTTTACAAGTTAATCAAATTTATACAAGTTTTTTCTCTTTGATGTTTTGTAACATGTATCTTTATTGCTTTTTTATTTGGTTAGTTTTCTGCTGTTTAAAATAGTAAAAAGCTGACAGCTGTGAATATATTTGTGTAGAAATGGCTCTAAAATCAGCCTTAAACTAGCTAGCTAACTTTAAGAAACACGTAGCCTATTACCTTAATAGTTAGAAAAGGTTAGTTGGTGTCGCTGGTTAATTTGAGCTGGTTAATAACAAGTTAGCTTAACTAACAAGCTACTATAGAGATGTTAACTTACCTGGAGGTCCCGTGCTTTTTAGGCTCGTGCGGGTTTAGCGCGTACCAACTGTGTCAGCTTTCTGGAGACAAGACACGTTTAGAAGTTCGTCTGCGGCGGTAAGTGACACCATGCCGGGCTTAATGGCTGCTAAATGAACAGGTGACACCCGGAGGTTACCTCCGGATCCACCGCGGCCGTTCGCTCGTGCCCAGGGGTCTAGCACCGCAGAAGCCGGAGTGTTACGCTCGAACCGCGGTGGCAGATGGAGGAAGTACGGGGCTCGAAAGGGGCGGGCGTTCCTCGTAGGGTGACGATGGTGGATAAACACGGGAATTTCCGACTCTGCAACTAAAGTGGAGAAAAGTTGTTCACCGAAGTTCAGAAATTCTAGTTTCATCGCTGTGGTTGTTGTTTTGATGGCTGTTCCATGAAGCCACACTGTGGTATTGTGTCTTCATTCTCTGTTTAATACCTTTTAAAGTGGCCTTGATTCGTTTTTTTAAACAAACTTTCAGTTTTTGTATCAGAAATTTTTTTTGTTCTGTGGTTTTTTAGAACATGGTGCAATGTACAGCCGAAGCAAAAAGAAAAAGTAGAGTCAGGACTAAAGAGAAAAACTAAAACCAGCACATCCTAAATGGTTTAGGATGTTCACGTTTGTGAAACATTCATTTTGTTTTCTCTTTTACCATGAATGCCTTTTCTTCGAAGAGATAACAAAACATGTTTTTGTGTGTTTGCGCATGCTTTGTTGACCCTATTTGCATAGCCGGTCTTATTTTAACCTACGAAGATCCAGCAGGGGCGGCTCGGGGACCCCAGTTTGAGGTCCACTGGCCTGAACCATTTCATCTAGCCTGCAGAAGTCACTTCAGTGGAAAATTATTCAGAGCTGTTGGTAAATATATGTGTTAGACTATTTATTTGTTTATCAGACATGACTTAGGCCATGTACCCATTTTGTTGCCTGAATGTTGCAGCAACAACACCCGTGGTTTTCACATCTTGTACACACACAGAGATCTTGACACATTCCCCTCTACTGATCCAATAGAAATGAGCCATATGGCACCAAACTAAGGTGGCGGGGGGTGGGGTGGGGGAGGAGGAGACAAGGATGAAAACTAATGGAGAAGATTCAGGATCCTTTTGACAGAGGGCTGGGGTGGAATCAGTGGACCAAGGTTTGTTGTACCATTTTCTATGCTTTTTCTACGTGAGCAAATTTAAACCAACCTACTGAATAATGGTCATTTATCAGGAACAGAGTTATTACTGTGGCAGGGGTGTGTCCAGGGAGTGGCCTGGGGTAGCACATGCCACCCTTGGAATCTGATTGGCCACCCCAGGTGCCACCACACTAATTTACCTTTAAATAGGCTTTTCATTGTCCACTAAAGGCTTGGGGGTAAAACAAAGAAAGCATAACCATTGGTGCCACCCATTCACAAAGTTGTGCCTCATCTGGGCCACCCCATTTTAAAAGATCTGGACACGCCACTGTACTGTGGGGTGCATTCTGTCCACCACCACAGACATCTACATGTCCAGATGCAGGAAAGAGGCCTCATGAAAGATCACACCCACCCTCTGTTTGTCTCACTCCCTTCATTGAGGAGACTGCAGAGTAATTTTATATTTCATTCCCTTGTAAGTCATGTCAAATTATGATTACTACATAAAACATATTTTTTGTCAAAAAGGGACAATAAAACACGGAATAACACTTTTATAGCAAGCCATGTTTATTAAAAACAGATCTACTACATGAACTACACCGAATTATATATAAGGCCTATTTGATTAAACTACTATTGCTATTACTGTACAATATTGTACCAAAAAAAGTGTACCTCTGTAATGTACAACATTGTATATACAAAGTACATCTGAACACAGGATTCTCCAGTAATACAGAGACAACTATAAATAGATTTGACATTACAGTCAGGTTTCTTGTCTTTTAGTTCAGTTTTTTTCTCCAAATGGACACAAAATGCATATTTAACAATATTCAACTCTAACGTATCATCCCCACACAGTTAGTTCAGTCCACATGCAGGCCAAGTTGTTCAAGTGCATAATGATTGAGATCAGAGAAGGTCCCACAAGCGGGACAAACACACACTAACCACTCACATGCACATCGTTGTGTCTGTGTGTGTAAGTGAAAGCGGCACGAACAAGCACACACAACCACACACACAATCCCTCCAGTTGTCGTGTTGAGGTAAGAACAACATAAAATACAACAAGAAAAATATACAAAGATAAAAAAGTTGACATTTACAGTTTTATTACAGGGATGCAGACTGCTGGAGGGTCAGAGGGAGGGGTAGTCAAATGTATCCTGGCGGCAGGCAGATCTCTGTGTAGCCCCGCCCCATGTTGAGTCTACAGTCTCCTGAGTTTGGAAAAGTCCAAATCTCACGAGGAATTCATCTTGCAGCGCAAGGTTAAGTAAAAATGTGGTCAAACTCAAAAAAGGGAAAACGGTATCGGGTACTGTTTTCTGCTTTAAGAAGATAAAGTAAAAAAAAAAAAAGAGGTTTTATTCAGTTTGCCCTTGAACATGTATTTCAGCTATTTTTAGTGTTTCTTGTTAAAGTTATAAATAACGACTTTCTGAACAGCCTCTGTTGAGATAAATGGTGATTATGCTAACAGGACTAATGAGCTAATGGCTAGTTCCACGCAAAAAAAAAAAGAAAAGAAAAAAAAGCAAGGCAAAAGTGGATTGGTGCCATCTTGAAACTACTCCCAACATCTTCATAGAGATTTACTTTTAATATTTGACATTAGTTTTTAACGGGACTTTTTATGGCTATTTACAATCACCAGAAACATTTAAATACAACTATTCTGGTGCCTCCAGGGGTCAAATCTGGCTGGGGTTACTTAACATGCCAAAATAAAAAAGTAAGACCGACCGTGGTATACATGTTTAGTAAATAAAATTTAACAGATCGGAACTGATTTAAGGCAGCAGCAATACACTTTGATCTTATGTAGTTGTTAGCTCATCAGTCAAGAAGGACATACACTATCTCTTCAAACAGAGGCTGTTCAGGAAGCCATCTCCATTGGTTAAAGAACTTTTTATAACTTGCACAGAAAAACATGTCAAAGTGGCCAAAAAATGCATTTATTAGCATGTGGTTTAGAATGTGTTTGCGGAGAGTTTCACATGCAGATATGATTAAAAAGCAAATCAGATCAGACGTTTTTGGTTTTCCCTTTTTCTATAAAGAGAAAAGCAGACAAAGAACAGGTGTTGTGAAAACGTAGACTGAAGACAACATCTCAGGTATCAGATCACATGTACCCAGTGCATGTTTTTTTTCAGCACTTCAAGCTGCTGAACACGGGGAAAACTACTTTCCTGTGCATCTCGGAACAAATGCCTTGATGTAGCATCTATTTATGCTGCCTAGGCAGAACTCAGGAAGGTGCATTCATACTCTATCCATGGATGTGCATACAAACATGTATAACAGTCCATATGGGACCAGATTTACACAGATTCTTGGCATAAAGTTAGGAAAAACTCATAAAATAAAAGATAGGATGAGGTGGCTGGTTGTGCTTTTATCTACACACACTCAAGAGGATCCTCAGCTGCATGCTTCCAGTTTTTATCAGTATTATATTAAGTAAAAATTTTTATTCATAATTATGGTGTACATAGTCAAAAGGAGCAAAGTGTTATTCTTTTTGAAGTTGTTTTATCGTTAAAATAAATCTAATTCATTCTCCAGTTGTTACTGTGGCTGCTGTGTACGGTCCCAGCGCGCAATGAAAACCTGACAGGCGTCTAGCTGCCTTAAAAACACACACACACACATTTAGAAAACACTGTGTGTGTAATATCTCATATAAAAATGCTGGGCTTCAGTGATCCCCTACACAAGTAGCAGAGCGGCATAAAAAGCAGCACAATGCCACAAAACCTGTTTTTTTATGTTTTATTGCTATATTCATTTAGAATTACCATCGGCCATATTTTATGCTCCTGCTGCGAAATGAGTAAATGAAAAAAAAGAAGATAAGATAAAGTAAAGCTTTTGATCACATGACTCACACTGGTATTTGGCCCATTTTCTCTTTTCCTCTGTAGCAGCAAGTCAGTGAGCCGAGTTGTTCACAGTCTGTCATCACAAATCTATCATCACACTCCCATCTGATCTGCTGGTCATGGGCTCATTCAAAATAAGGAAAATAATAACCCTGTCATGTCTTTTACACAAAACTCAAACAGTTTTTTTGTTTTTGTTCTTCATGAAAAGGCAAACAACACTCTTACGTCCCCACTCAAAGGCAATTTCTGTTCAAAACTAGTGTTTTTTAAGATTAAAGGTGTTTCGGATCTGTTCGTGCCCACCCTGAATCCTGTTCCTTTATTAAAGATGTATTAGTAATTGCTGCGGTGGCAAAATAGGAATGTTTTTCACCTTGTGATGATTGAGCTGTAGTAACGCAGAGTTGCCACAAGATGGCAGAATATCATCACTTAAAGGTAAATGCCGCATGAGGGTTATGGGTCCCACGTGAAAAAGGAGAAGTGCTTTTGGCACTGGTTAAAAGAGATGTTAAAGATTGTTAGAGTAACGGTTTTAGGAGGAACCCAGAGGCTTTAGGCTGGACAGGACTTGTCAGATTGGGGGGGAGGTGGAGGAGGAGGTGTGTGAGGGAGAGGGTGTGTGTGGCTTGTAAGAGGAGGAGGTGGTGTGGGGGGAACAGTGGAAGTCGGAGAGCCCATTGCCGGACTCCCAGCCCCTCCTCCGCTCTTTGGGAACACCACAGGTTTGGGTCTCGTCACTGGGGGGCGCAGCTCTCTAAAGGAAGGTACAGAGGAGGAGAGAGAAGAGGAGGATAAAGACGGGGAGGTGGCAGAGGGCAGGGGGCTCCGTGGCTGGCTCTTAGCGGGGCGGAAGGACGATGGCACGTCGCTGGCTGAAGAGGCGCTGCGCTGAAGGGGATGGAGATGCGAGGAGACGCCCTCACCGTCCCGTAGCAGGCGGGAGTGCAGAGGGCTGGAAGGCTCCGAAGCACCTCCTCCTCCTCCTCCACTCATGCCTTTCAGCTGCTCCAGTGTGTCCAGAACCACATCGGGGGTGTGTTTGGAGGTGCTCTGCCTTTCAAACTTACTGAGCTCACTCAAGGCCGAGTCCTGCAGCGACCAGAGAGAAAACATAAACACACAAACTCCACACTGAGCAGCCAGTCCAGGGAGGATAGCTACCTGTGAGCTGTGCTCCACCTGGGCTATGACCTCAGGGTCCAGTGGTCTGTGGTTGCTGAAGCTCTTGGAGCGCCCAGCTGTAGTTGTTTTCTTTAACTGTGGACTCTCCACCTAAACAGCCAAACCAGTCTCTGTTAAACACCTCCCAAACATCTCACTCATCATGTGATCAGCTGCAGCTCACTACCTTTGTTTTGAGTGAAGAGTGACGAGTGACAGAGTTGAGGATGTTGTGAGCGCTGACAGGTCGCTTGTCTCCGGTGTCTTTAACCAGAGATCCACCAGGAGGAGGAGTTGCCCTAACACCTCCTCCTCCATTGCTGCTGGCTCCCAGACCGGTACCGTCGCTCTCTGAGCGGAACGGCCTTCGTAAATTCCCGGGCTCTGGGCGTTTTCTCATCCTGAAGGAGACAAAATGTTTCGCTTGCCTTTATTTATTATTACCCAAGATGCTCTGCTTCTTTGCAGGTGCGCAGTCTGTTTGCTTAATTGTACAGATTTTATTTTATTTATCTGCTATAATCATCAAAAGTACAAGATAACGCTGAGCGGTACCAGCACAATATCACATATGCAAATACAGCTGAGACAAAAACGCGGCTGTTGATTGAGATTTTACTAGCTGAAAATAGGTTTTCTTTGATGGTGCATTATGTAAGAATGAAGTCTGAATGACATCCTGCAGTCAAATTTGGTTACTGCAGCTTTTTTTCTTAGCAAAAAGTTACATTCTCACTCTCGTTCTGAGTTTCATGCTAACCCATCAGCATCAGAAGATTCTAGATGACAATCAAAGGCGAGTCGTACAGAGTAAGGTAATGAGTAGAAAAAGACTTTGTCATATCTGCTGTTAGCACTTCTAGATGTTTTACGGTAGGAAGCATTTATTACGGTAATATGCCTCCGGCATAGAGGAAGTGTTGTTGTTTGCTGTCTTGCTGTTAGCTTGCTGCTATAGTTCTGAATGACTAATTAGAGGAAGCAAAACACCACAATTACTTCATTATTCACTTCACATATATGTCACTGTAATATTAAGTTGTTGGTAATTAGAAAAAGTAGCCTGAAATATTTTTTGAGCCCACTATTTGCTTCTAATTCACCGTTAGAATTGATAGCTCAATGTTAGCCTCTAGCCTGCTCCACCTGATATTAGATTAAAACAAAAAGATAGCGTTGCTTCTTAGGGGTAAAAGAAATAACTTCCTGGTCGCTCCTGCTTACTGGCTTCTGTTCTTAAAACAACTCTGGAACTTTTCGCCTGCAGTTGTCAAATTAAAAACGCTGGCGCAGACTCAGCAACCTCGCAGTCTCACAGAGTGTAAACAGTGATTATTTCCCTCTGTAAATTTTTCTAAAGGAAAAAAAACTGACAAACTCTCAGCTGGCTGAGAAGGGAATCTGTTTTGGTGTAACCTTCCTTCCAACATGATTGAGACATCAGACTGTTTTGTAATTATTTCACTGTAGAATTCTTACACATTGCTCCTTTAAGCAGAGCATTAAAGCCCTCACAGTTTTTTTTCACATGAATAAAAACATAATCCAAATGGGCTGATTATCATTAAGGATGTAGTTTAGAATTTCAAATGATAAACCTTTAATTAATTCAGTTTGAACTAAACGTTCAACTAAACAGCGTTTCTCAACCCTGGCCGTCAGCCCCCCCCCCCCGTCCTGCATGCTTTCTATGTTGCCGTTTCCAACAGCATCGTTTCTCTGCTGCCACACACTTGACTTAAATGAATGAGTGATGAACAGGCTTCTGCAGCACTTGATGTCTTCCTAAGGAGGCAATGCAAACATGTGAACCAGGTGTGCTGTAGCAGAGACATGGAAAACATGCAGGTCAGGGGGGCGCTGAGGACCAGGGTTGAGAAAAACGGATCTAAACAGTAGTAGAGAAACTCAATGCCACTCTCCAATCACGTGCACAAGTCCTAATAGCATAAAACACACTTGTTGAGGTTGGCCAGGTAGATGTCCGCCACATGAGGTCCTGTGGGGGAGGCGGGGTTGCCTCGGTTTGACACCCTCTCCTCCAGCAGGTCTCTATTGTCCGATTCCAGCTTTGGACTTCCTCGTTCCGCCTCGGATCTGAAACAGAACAGAAATGAAGCCCCCAAGTGTCTTAATCTCACAACAACCACTCTGCGATTGACGAAAAGAAGGACCTCCATAAGTTGGTGTTTGATTTTATGCATAACAGAGAATATCTTACCCGTCTTGAATAATGATGTACTGGTGTGGCACCAGTCCATTTGCCCCGTTGTGCCGCCCCTCCCACCAGTCGTCAGAGGCCCGCTGGTACAGAAGCAGAGTAGCGCCCTTTTTGAACGACAGCTCCCTACTGGTGCGGCCGGTGTAGTCAAACCGAGCGATGGCTTCAACTGGGTCAGACTCTGAAACAGCCAACGTGCCTGAGATTCAGAGGACGGCCAACGGGAGACAGGAAGTGCCAAAAACGGGAGGGGATGGAAAGAAAATGGGAGGAAAATCAAAGATGGGAGATGGGAAGAAAGCGGGATTAGTGCACAGGCAGTTAGTGCTGCTGTATTTGCAGAACATACTTGTTAAAAATAGCTGCACAAGAAGTATGAACGTGTTACTGAAGCAAAGCTATCCGCTGCTGAAACCATAACAGGTGAGTGTAGGTCAGATCTCACCAACAGGTGAAAAACAGCGACTTTACACACCGTCGTCACTATTGTGGCCGACAGAGACAGAGTCGGGCGCCGGCTCTTCCACGTGGGGGGGCTCACAGTGTGGGCTGTCACTGCAGTGGAAGAAGAGCAGGAGATGGTCGGAGGGTGAGAACACACACCATAAAGGATCATAACACTGATGTTTGATCTAAATGGGTCGGAATATTCTAGATAATCTCAGATTTTGGAGCATATTTTATCATTTTCAAGTTTTATTTTCTCCACATTTATGGAGTTTGACTTTACTTTGAGTCTTTATTCCACCACAGCTCCATGAAACACTAAATCCTCTCTGAGCATTCTGTCATTTTATCATCATTTACATTATTTACATAGCAAGGAAGCTTTAGCAGGTTGTTATAAATCAATGTTCAGCTTTTAAAACATGTGATTCCTTTCCCAGAGGGATTAACCCTATGAGTTATTTTCTGAGATGAAGCCAGTCAGCAGGATTATATCTTTTGTCTAGACTTTCTCCTGCTCAGAATTAAAAATGCAGCTGTTCCAGAGCTGCTGCTGCTCCACTGATAGGCAGTAATCATAATAGCTGGTGACAAAGCATGCCATTAGAATAAAATGAAAACCGTCAGCCATTGTGTGCACCGTGGTGTGCTCCCGCTGTGCACATCGTCGGCTGATGTGGTCAGGCGGTGCTTTAATCTCCCTCGTGACGGACAGTAAGCTGATTCTCGTGGCCCCACTGGCTCCGAGAAGCCCAGTCCCCACAAATGTAGCACCGGCTTTGGATCCTTTGTTAGAAAAAAAACTTAAACAAGATACCAGAAGTCATCTCCTGCCCCGGGGACGGAGTAGACGGGGCCCTGCAGCTCCTGCGGCCCGGGGAAGATGGTGTCATAGTGGATGATGATGGTCTTGATGAGTTCGTTGACATGAGCCTGGCAGGAAACCTGGTCGTGGCCTTCGGGAACAGACATCAGGGTGGGGCCGAAGCAGATGGCCAAGTTGTAGGGGTCCATCATGTTCTCCTCGCTGTGCTGAGACAAGCTGGGAAGGGGGGGGGGGGGGGGGGGGGGGGGGGGGGAGGGGGCAGAAACAACAACCATGACAGATCCTTCTAAAACCTAAATCCTCCTGGTCCAACAGAAGTCCATCAGCTCTGGGATGACATGGAGACACTCATGATGTGTGTTTAAGGGGTCAGGAGCATCGGTGGGGTGGTGACCGTAAATCACTCCAGTAAAAGAGAAAGCTCCAAAGTCTCAACGTGAACTCGGTTTTCTCAGGAGTCTGGAATGTCAGCTCTCCCATCTCCTCCTTCATCTCACCCTCCATCACACAAGTGCTCAACTGTGGTTGTTAAAGAGCAAGTCACCACCAAATAAACTTTTTTTGCTGATAAACTAAATAAACAAGTGTCTAATCGTGCTGCAGACACGTGTTGTCAATAATTTGGCACTTCAGTGCATCTTAGTTAAAATTTAAATTTTCTGCCTAAAACTGTCAGTGTTGTGCCGTTGTCAGGTAAAAACTCTGCACTGCATTTTAATTTAAATCTGCCATCGCTATTGGCTAAGAAGTATGCTATGATGTAAACTGGTACATTATGATTTCACAATGCTGTCGTGAGCCTGTGTGTGTGTGTGTATTTGTTAGCGGCTCCGCCCCCTCGGTCTGCTAGGCAACAGCATTTGTTGCATTTTTCAAACATGAAGTGGGAGTGGAGTTAGACTCTGGTAGGGGTTGACTTGCTCTTTAAAGATAGTCGACTACAGATGTACCCAAACTAAATGTGTAGAGAAAAGATCCAGGTTAGTAAACCCACATTTGTACTGTCGGTGGAACTTTATGATCGAGTAAACCATCAGCAGGGAGGTGACTCATGAAGCTACGGAACCAAAAGGAGAAACTGTAAAACGATACTGGACTATAAGATTAAACTTGGTCGAAAAGAAGAAATTAAATTATTGAAAAGCTAAAAACAGCCTTTTTATTTCAAACCTTCATTTCAGTCCATTCTGGACCTCTCCTAAACATCACAGGACACTTAGATTGAAACAGTCAAACATTTAAATGTGTGCTTGTGGAAAATTGAGCGCATGTGCATGGATTACAGGAGCTGGTTAGAGTTCCCACCTAAAACCACAACTAGTTATTAATGAAGGTAATTTGGTTTAAATACACGGTTTATATGGATGCATTGGGTTCTCTAATCCACCATTTTTTTCATTTTTAAAGTTTATTTCTGTTACAGTAGCAGAAAATATTTGAGTCAAATAAAATTCAGGCTAAACCAAACAAACGGAAATCTAAACTAATTTCAATTTATTTTCAATTATTGTAAAGTTTCTCGTTATGAACCGTCTAAATTATTCCAATCCATTTAAGAATCAAAAACCCAGAGTTCCCTACGGGAACGCACATGCCGGAAAGCCAGAGATTTAAACTAAAATCGTTTTATGCTGAGAAGTTATAAAACAATCTGTTAGAACTCCATATTATGACTCTCAGCTGCTACAAGCTGCAGTTTTAGTACAAGGTCTTCAGAACTGACTGAGGCCAAGCCTTCTTTGTACCCCGGGTTTCCACGGGAGCCGTCAGCAGCACGTTACTGCAGCAGCACGTCTTGCTCGCGTAAGCTGCTGCTTGGCCCTTCCCACGAGACACGAAGCAGCAGGGGAGCAGCTGTCACCGACCGAGCACGAAGTCACACGAGTAACTTCGTCAGTAAACACAACAACAAGCAGGAGAAAAGTACAACATGGTTTGTGTTTTATGTTCTGTCCGTTTTATAATCGCCAATACGGACCTGAAAAACAAACGAGACCGCTAGCTAGGTGATAACTTCTCACGGGGACGCACAGTTAGTAACTGTTTTTAAAAGTAAAGCAACCGGAAGGCAGTACGTTCTTTATTCTGAAAATCTCGGTAGCGTCTCTCCATTTCCGCGTTCGATTTCCTGTCTTTCCTTCCCCAAAAATGTCGAACTTGACCCGTTTCAGAGGCGTCGCGCGTAGAAAATAGAACCGGCGCGTAGAAAATAGAACCGGCGCGTAAAGGCCGCGACATGCTGCTCCTGAGACGCGGCCGACTCGCGCTGCTGACGGCTCCAGTGGAAAAGGTTCTGTTGACCACAGCAGTTCCTATCAGCAGCTATGACGTGCTGCTGCAGTAACGTGCTGCTGACGGCTCCTGTGGAAAGCCGGGGTAATGTACAGGTGCTGGCCAGTAAATTAGAATATCATCAAAAGGTTGAAAATATTTCAGTAATTCCATTCAAAACGTGAAACTTGTACATTATATTCATGCAATGCACACAGACCAATGTATTTCCGATGTTTATTACGTTTAATTTTGATATTTATAGGTGACAACCAATGAAAACATCAAATCTGGTATCTCAGAAAATTAGAATATTCTAAAGGCCAATGAAAAAATGTTTGTTTCTCTAATGTTGGCCAACTGAAAAGAATGAACATGAAAAGAATGTGCATGTATAGCACTCAATACTTAGTCGGGGCTCCTTTTGCCTCAATAACTGCAGTAATGCGGCGTGGCATGGACTCGATCAGTCTGTGGCACTGCTCAGGTGTTATGAGAGCCCAGGTTGCTCTGATAGTCGTCTTCAGCTCCTCTGCATTGTTGGGTCTAGCGTATTGCATCCTCCGCTTCACAATACCCCATAGATTTTCTATGGGGTTAAGGTCAGGCGAGTTTGCTGGCCAATCAAGGACAGGGATACCATGGTCCTTGAACCAGGTGCTGGTGGTTTTGGCACTGTGTGCAGGTGCCAAGTCCTGTTGAAAGGTGAAGTCTGCATCCCCATAAAGTTGGTCAGCAGCAGGAAGCATGAAGTGCTCTAAAACTTCCTGGTAGACGGCTGCATTGACCCTGGACCTCAGGAAACAGAGTGGGCCAACACCGGCAGATGACATGGCACCCCACACCATCACTGACGGTGGAAACTTTACACTGGACCTCATGCAACGTGGATTCTGTGCTTCTCCGCTCTTCCTCCAGACTCTGGGTCCTTGATTTCCAAAGGAAATGCAGAACTTGCTTTCATCAGAAAACATAACTTTGGACCACTCAGCATCAGTCCAGTCCTTTTTGTCCTTGGCCCAGGCGAGACGCTTCTTGCGCTGTTTCTTGTTCAAGAGTGGCTTGACACACGGAATGCGACACCTGAATCCCATGTCTTTCATGAGTCTCCTCGTGGTGGTTCTTGAAGCGCTGACTCCAGCTGCAGTCCACTCTTTGTGGATCTCCCCCACATTTTTGAATGGGTTTGTCGTCACAATTCTCTGCAGGGTGCGGTTATCCCTAGAGCTTGTACACTTTTTTCTACCACATTTTTTCCGTCCCTTCGCCTGTCTGTTAATGTGCTTGGACACAGAGCTCTGCGAACAGCCAGCTTCTTTAGCAATCACCTTTTGTGTCTTGCCCTCCTTGTGCAAGGTGTCAATGATTGTCTTTTGGACAGCTGTTAAGTCAGAAGTCTTCCCCATGATTGTGGTGCCTTCAAAACAAGACTGAGGGACCTTTTAAAGGCCTTTGCAGGTGTTTTGAGTAAATCAGCTGATTAGAGTGGCAGCAGGTGTCTTCTATATTCAGCCTTTTCAGAATATTCTAATTTTTTGAGATACCAAATTTGGAGTTTTCATTAGTTGTCACTTATGAATATCAAATTTAAATGTAATGAACATTGGAAATACATTGGTCTGTGTGCATTGCATGAATATAATGTACAAGTTTCACGTTTTGAATGGAATTACTGAAATATTTTCAACCTTTTGATGATATTCTAATTTACTGGCCAGCACCTGTAGATGAGCTCTGGTAGACTGACTCCAAATGTTAAAGAGTGATGGACAGGTTTCTAAGAAGTTCATTCACTTCCATCCAGGGGTTCATGAGACATTTTGCAAACACTGTGGCCAAGTGAATGCACAAACGCATGCAACGGCCAAAACATTATCACCCACTTTTTAGCAGCAGGCGATAAAAAATGCAGTTTCAAACACTGCAAATGTGGTTTTTAAGCAGACACGTAGATATTGAGCTTCATTAATGGGTCAAATTAGAGATCAACTGATGTGTTTTTTTATTTTTATTGCTGATGCCAATTTGTAGAGTTCGTGGTCAGCTAAAATGTCACACTAGTGAAAACAGTGGACGCACAACCTTATCTGAGCTGAATCAGCTTTGGAAAACTGAACACAATCAACTGTTGAATCTTAGTTTTCTGCATTGTTCAGTATTAAAATCAAACATCTGACCAAAGTTAATCAAAGAAATAAAAACAAAACTGGTAAAGTACTTCATATAAAACAGGTGCAAAATAAATGTCAGCATGCAAAAATGTTTTAGAGCATTTATTAAGTACAGGTGCTGGCCAGTAAATTAGAATATCATCAAAAGGTTGAAAATATTTCAGTAATTCCATTCAAAACGTGAAACTTGTACATTATATTCATGCAATGCACACAGACCAATGTATTTCCAATGTTCATTACATTTAAATTTGATATTCATAAGTGACAACTAATGAAAACTCCAAATTTGGTATCTCAAAAAATTAGAATATTCTGAAAAGGCTGAATATAGAAGACACCTGCTGCCACTCTAATCAGCTGATTTACTCAAAACACCTGCAAAGGCCTTTAAAAGGTCCCTCAGTCTTGTTTTGAAGGCACCACAATCATGGGGAAGACTTCTGACTTAACAGCTGTCCAAAAGACAATCATTGACACCTTGCACAAGGAGGGCAAGACACAAAAGGTGATTGCTAAAGAAGCTGGCTGTTCGCAGAGCTCTGTGTCCAAGCACATTAACAGACAGGCGAAGGGACGGAAAAAATGTGGTAGAAAAAAGTGTACAAGCTCTAGGGATAACCGCACCCTGCAGAGAATTGTGACGACAAACCCATTCAAAAATGTGGGGGAGATCCACAAAGAGTGGACTGCAGCTGGAGTCAGCGCTTCAAGAACCACCACGAGGAGACTCATGAAAGACATGGGATTCAGGTGTCGCATTCCGTGTGTCAAGCCACTCTTGAACAAGAAACAGCGCAAGAAGCGTCTCGCCTGGGCCAAGGACAAAAAGGACTGGACTGATGCTGAGTGGTCCAAAGTTATGTTTTCTGATGAAAGCAAGTTCTGCATTTCCTTTGGAAATCAAGGACCCAGAGTCTGGAGGAAGAGCGGAGAAGCACAGAATCCACGTTGCATGAGGTCCAGTGTAAAGTTTCCACCGTCAGTGATGGTGTGGGGTGCCATGTCATCTGCCGGTGTTGGCCCACTCTGTTTCCTGAGGTCCAGGGTCAATGCAGCCGTCTACCAGGAAGTTTTAGAGCACTTCATGCTTCCTGCTGCTGACCAACTTTATGGGGATGCAGACTTCACCTTTCAACAGGACTTGGCACCTGCACACAGTGCCAAAACCACCAGCACCTGGTTCAAGGACCATGGTATCCCTGTCCTTGATTGGCCAGCAAACTCGCCTGACCTTAACCCCATAGAAAATCTATGGGGTATTGTGAAGCGGAGGATGCAATACGCTAGACCCAACAATGCAGAGGAGCTGAAGACGACTATCAGAGCAACCTGGGCTCTCATAACACCTGAGCAGTGCCACAGACTGATCGAGTCCATGCCACGCCGCATTACTGCAGTTATTGAGGCAAAAGGAGCCCCGACTAAGTATTGAGTGCTATACATGCACATTCTTTTCATGTTCATTCTTTTCAGTTGGCCAACATTAGAGAAACAAACATTTTTTCATTGGACTTTAGAATATTCTAATTTTCTGAGATACCAGATTTGATGTTTTCATTGGTTGTCACCTATAAATATCAAAATTAAACGTAATAAACATCGGAAATACATTGGTCTGTGTGCATTGCATGAATATAATGTACAAGTTTCACGTTTTGAATGGAATTACTGAAATATTTTCAACCTTTTGATGATATTCTAATTTACTGGCCAGCACCTGTAGATGCTTCTCAGGGATGTAAATTTACATTTAAATAAACTCGGCGGCTGCACTGGGCTGCCCGTGGATGTGCCTGACTTAAAATCAGCTGATGCCAAAGTATAAAAAAACTGGTGAATATTGGCCAGATATGTTGTTCTATCCCTAATGTACCATGTCGTACTACTCACTGGTTGAGGAAGGCAAACAGGTATCTCATGATGATGAGGGTTTGACCCGGCAGAGCCTGGAGAACTTTCTGGATGTGCACCGCCCGCTCCTGAAGGCTCTCCATTGCTGGAAAATAAGAAAATCCTTTAGATTACCCAGACAACGGGGTTGCACACACACACACACACACACACACACACACACACACACACACACACACACACACACACACACACACACACACACACTCACACACACACACACACACACACACACAGGCAGACGGGAGGAAAGGACACTCACAGACACAAGATATGAGGTCATGGAAGACTTCCTTCGGGAAGAGGGCGCCCTCAAGTCCTCTGAAGTAGAGTTTCAGCACACCGGCTATGGAGTCAATGTCATGGTCATTCTGGTCCCCTGCCAGCGGGTCCTCCCCTACGTGCAGATGAGGAAAAGATGCCATAAATCCCTCAAACATCAGGTTTCCAATAACTGCATCCAGCTGGGTTTACAGTTTTACCTCTCTCAAAGGCGTTCTTGATGTCATTGACCTCCACCTGAGAGCCAGACACTCTGAAGATGCCCTCGTGCTGAAGACCTGAACATAAACACAAGTCATGACCGTTGTTTTTCTTTATTTCAGATAAAAGGTTCCGGTCGTGTTTTCAGCTCCAGTCAAGCCACAACCAATCCCATTTAACAAACGAAAATCCCAACCAATGGCTGCAGCAAGACACAGATGCTAAACCTATCCCTTAAGAGGAGAGTTTCCTCACCATGGCGACTGATGAAGCGGATGCAGCAATCAACCATCAGCGGAATGGCTTCACCTGAGTCCTAAACAAATAGGAAGAGGGATGGCTCCTGTTCAGTGTTCAGACATTGTGGAGGAAGAAAACACACACAGAGCACATCTATTTCCTCACACATGCATTTGCAACAGTGCGCACAGTTAGGAGGAATGGATCTCAGGCATGGGTTAGACACAGTGGGTGCAGCTGTTGCTAGGAAACCACACTATCCCTTTTTCCTTTGTTTGTTTCAGTTTCCCCTCAAACCTCTCAGTGGGTTTTGCATATGGAGCACGAGCTGCATGGTGTCTGCACCCACTCTATCAGTCCAGCTGTAGCTGTATTTGCTGCAGCTGCTGTTTGAAAACTGAAAACCAATTGATTTGGCTTCTATGAAGTCAGAGCTTATGGTAATCAGACCACAAGGGGGAGCCACAAACATGGCGTACCCCAAAGAGGAGGTTTCCTTATGAGCGTTAACTGATTTAACAGCAGGAACAACACATGAAATAAGGGTTTTGTGTTTCGATCATCTGACTTATGGCGTAATAAACCAAGTGTTGTCCGCATCTAGGTGCTAGTGCATCTAGCAGGCGGAGGATACTGTGAGAAAACATGTGGTTTAAGTGAAAAAGGAAGCTGCAGTGGCTCTGAAGCCAGCAACCACTCAGAAACACACACACGGATAATTACCTGCTTCTGTACGGTTGAGTTTCTCCTTCCACTATATGCAGAAAAAGAGGAAAGAAATAACAGCACCCTGTCATTATGTCTCTAGTGAAAGTCTATTTATAATCAGAACTGCTGTGATGTTCTATTTGTGTAAACAGACACATGTGTGCATGCATCAGGAGTATCTGTAACTGTTAACACCACAGATTGGCACGGAATTAGGTCCCGACACTGAAATCGTAAATGCACGTTTGCGAGTGCTCGAGTCGGGAGTGAATTTTCATCCCTCGCCACACCTACCTGGCAAGACAACAGTCAGTTTTCTGACCTGCAGGAGTTGGAAAGAGGGAAAAGGAAGAAGAGAAACAAAAATAGGCAGTTATGGTAGGTGCAGCTGAAACAACACAGAAAAAATATTAGGATAAAATACAATAAACAATATGAGATGAAGCAACTAACAGTGTACAAAGTAACCCGACACATTGATGTAATGTGATATAATGTAAAAGTATATGACACAAAAGACCATTGTAGGATTTCATATAATACCATACACAATCATTCCATGTGCTAAAATATAGAAAAACAGGAACAGAAATCCCCCCTACACACACACACACACACACACACACACACACACACACACACACACACACACACACACACACACACACGAGCAGCGTCACTGTGACATTCCCTTAGGCTCACACACACAGCTTGTGAGTCTTTGATCGATTGAACTCCTTCTGCTCTACTACTGTGACCCTGATGTGGACCCCCCCCCCCATACAAACCGCCACCACCACTTGCACATCTCAGCTCCCACATTTGCCTCACATCCCCCCTCTCCTTACCCTTCCAGTCATCTAGGGGGTCAAATGCACTCATGCAGATGGGGAAAAAAAGGGCAATATGCTAAAGTTTGAAGGACACCCACTCTCTCCCAGCGTCTTCTGGATTAGGTCACGCTTGGCCTCCAGCTTGGTGATCAGGCTTCTTCCTTCCAGGAACTCCTTGAGCTTCTATAATGTAAACAAACAGAAGCTGGCTGGAGTCACTTAGTGCATTTAGAGGCAGTGTAAGAAAACCAAATCATTGCCTTAGTTCGGCTGAAGTCGAACTGAACTGCACGACTATAATAGAGCTAAGGGACAGCAGTAGCTCAGGAGGTAGAGCAGGTGGTCCAGTGATCGGAAGGTTGCATGTTCGATCCTGGCTCTGACCAGAGAATGCTGCTATGTCCTTGGGCAAGACACGTAACCCTTCTAGCCTGCTGGTGGTGGTCGGAGGGACCGGTGGCGCTTGTTTTCTCTTTGTGTTTTGCGACAGTCAAAAGGGCACTGACTGTTTCTGTGAACATTTACTGTCAGGTGGCGGTTCCTGCTCCGCTGACGTCTGGGAAAAGTTGCTGACACTTACTGTGAAGTAGAACTGCTCGGTCTCCTGCTGATTGGCCCGCCTCTTGGCCAGGCTGGGCTTGCTCAGGTACGACTCACTGAAAGTGGACTTCACCGACTCCATGCTGTTGCTGTGGTGGAAGCACTCAGAGACGTCGTAGTCCTCCACTGTCACCATGTCTTGAATGGTGGACAGAGTGGCTCCCATGGTTTTCTTCACCTGATGGACAGTGAGGGGAAAATAAAGATGTGAAACAAAATGTGCAGCAGGTTGGTTTCATGAGGAATGCAGTAACCGGCCCAACCTCTTCATTCTCAATTGTAAGCGTGGAGAGACGAGATTGCAGCTGCTGAAACCTCTGGAGGAGGTCCTCTTCCACTGGCGGCTGCGCACACATCACACCCATCTGTATGGAAAAGAATCACAGAAACATATTGTAACATCAAATTAAACACATTGAAAGACTTTGAAACTAACAAACAAGAACGGTACCGTGTCTCCCATGTGGGACTGGAAGTCAAAGCGAGCCGGTGGACAGAAGATGTTGTTGTAGGTCTCCATCAGTTTCTGTTTGTCCCCGTTGGGTTCCAGAATTTCTGCTGCTCCTTCCAGTGTCTCCAGGCCCGTGTGTTTGGACGTCTCCACATTCTGCTCAGCAGATAAGTAGGTCCTCAGGGCGCGGTGCAGGCTAGCATGGTAGCCCAGGTCACAGCACTGTCACACACACGCACGCACACACACACACACACACACGCACGCATGCACGCACACACGCACACACACACACACACATCCAAAATGAGTTGTGCAATCATCAAACATAAGTGTTCCACTGACTGCCTGACACGGCGACATTCTGCAGATGCCACATCGGTCGGCCTCTAGTTGTCATGTTCTGTGTCCCTGTGGTCCCCAGCCCCCTCCAGGTTCCCCTCATGTGTCCTCTAATCTTCTGTGCCCCTTTTGGTCCCCAGCTTCTCCAGGTTTCTCTCTAGTCACTTCACTTATCACTAGTTTTCTGTTATTTTAGATGATCTAGTTCATATCTCCCTTTAGTGTATTGTGTTCCCTCCCCAGCTATGATCCTCTCCTGCCTTCCAGTATAATTAGTTCTGTCACTCTGAGGTCATTAGTTTATGTAGCTTTAGTCTTATTCCTACAGTGTTTAGGTTTATTTACGTTCGGTAGCTTTGTCTTACAGATTTTAGGTCTGGTTTCCTCACCTGCCCTGTTCTGCTCCTCCTCTCAGTTATCAATCTCACCTGTGCCCATTTCCCTTAATCACTCAGCCCCTGTGTATAAAACCCTGTCTTGTGTCTCAGTGTTTGTCGGTCCATTGTTGATGTCAGTGTTGTTCTGTTCCCCCTCGTGAAACTCTAGGTTTTGCTCATCATGGAGCCTTTTGTTTTTGTCAGTCAGGTTACTGACTTTAGGCTTGGCTTCCTGCCCCTTTGGAACTCACTCATCATCCAAAATAAAGGAGTTTTCATTTATGCGACTGCTCCTGCAATGAGTGATTCTGGTGTTCTGCATTTTGGGTCAATCCTCCTCCTCCTCAACAACGTGACACTAGTCAACCATTATTTTTTTTTTCTGGCTAGAATTTTGGGTTTTGTTCAGATATCTAATGATAATTAATTTTCCTTTTCATAAAAACATGACACCAGAATTTCTAAAATCTAACTCAAAGAGACATTATTTTATACAGGGCCACCTGCCTCTAGAATTGCACCAACTTTGGTTTGAAGGGTCAGTGCCAATTTCTGATTCTTCTACAGCTCAGGTCTGCTGGTCGGAGGAAAATCTGATTTAATTCAAAGAACATTGCTGCGGTTGCTTTGGTAAATGAATCATACACAAAGTTATCAGTTGAGTAAAACCAGTATTACTTGTTAAACTGCCATGCAAACGTAATGTAAACGTCTGTGAGTACGTCTCTTGCTGGCTTTAATCCCTACCATGACTCTGGACTAAAAAAGTCGTTTCGGGTCCGACCTGAGAGGTGACGAGTGCTCACAGCAGGCACTTCTTAACTGCGCCAGTCGGTGAAGCAGCTGAGTAATCTAATCCGTGACAATTGGACTGTTTCTCGAAGCCTTTAGGTCAACTATGCATAAACGATACACCATATGCAGATCTACCGATGTGTATCTCAACCATTAATCTTCTTTGCCACCTACACCTGGACTGACTCAAATGAAAGCTGCATGAATTCCTGCAGCCAGCGAGGTGTTACATTCAGGCAGAAAACAGACTGCTTCTGTGCCTTCTACTGTAGATGCTTTTGCAGATGGCTGCGATGGCCGTTCTGCAGCCATCATTAGAGGCACTGAAGCTAATGAGAGGTGACTAACCCAGGGGAAGTGACAACCTAAAATAAAATACTAGCTCCTCTTGCAGCAGGAGTGGGGAACCCTGGTCCTCGAGGGCCGGTATCCTGCACGTCTTTGCTCCAACCCTTCTGATTCAGTGGTTAATTCACATGTTCTGCAGCTTTTCAGGCTCTGCAGAAGCTTGTTAATCACCTGCTGATTGAAATCAGGTGTGATGATGCAGGGTTGAAACTAAAATATGCTGGATAGCGGCCCTCGATGGACCAGGGTTCCCCGCCCCTGTCTTACAGGGTAACAGCGTTTTATTTACTCACATCGATGATGTCAGAAAGGTCGTGGATGTAATATTTGAAGACACAGCTGTTGGTGGCCTCCAGAGCAAGCAGGTACTCGTTCCTGGCCTTGATGGCCTTCAGCTTGTTCTCCGTGTACTTAGCTTGTCTCTGATGTGACAGAAAGAGTAGAAGGAACAGTAAACGAGGGAAGCAGAAGCGCAGTGACAAAGTGAGGAGGAAGGGAGCGGGATAATAGGTGTTGGAGTGAAATAGCTCAGTATTGATTAAGGCTGATAAGAGGTGTAGAATTGTGTTGCTGTGACAGGCTCCAGCTGGAGCAGACAAGGCCAGCAGTAAGCCATAAATCATTCAAGAGATGCACGTGTGTGACACCAGGTGGGGCACTCAGACACAGCCATCTTCTGTCTGATGGACGCCTTCCACGTGCCCCCACCCCCACCCTGCTCACCTTCTCCTTCATCTTCTCAATCTTTTTGACGCTGGAACGTCGGACGACTTTCTCATCGCTCTTGATGCTGGCCAGGGTGTCGGGAGAGCGCGGCGTCTGGCGGTCTTCCTGTCGACTGGAGCGTCCCATCTGCTTCTCCGCCTCCTTCAGCTTGGACTCTGCATTGATGCTGTCAGTGTTGTACATGTGGTACGTTTTCATCACCTGCGAATGAGGATGGAGTTTTGCCAATAAGCATGACTGCATGTTTTCCTCGCCCTGTGCTTAAATTTTAAGAAGCCAAACAGCAGATGAAAGACGGAATTGTGCACATGGAGCACCGTATGAGTTTTTAATAAAGAGTTAAACACATGAAAAAAGATTTTATGTGCAAGGTCAGCTTTATTCCGCGACCACCACCAAAGCCATCATTATACTGCTCTCCTCTGACTCTGAGCATACATGTGAGCATCACTCAAACCAGACCTATTTCTGTCTTTTACTATAGACTATAATTATAACAGAAGACTTGCTTTTATGGGACCGGCTGACCACAAGCTATGCAATTCCCAGCTTTAGTACAAAACCAACACAAACAAACCGTGCAACGCACTCCACTTGCCTCAGTTTTCTGACAGTATCATAAACATGTGGAATATCCTGCAGAGAGTAACTTCACCAAAACAAGACTGAGGTTTGGTGGAAGGAGTTTTAAGAATAGTCAACATTTAGCTTTTTAGAAAATATCATTAAAATTTAAGCCAAACTGAAAAATGCAAAAATGCTTTTTACGTCATTTTGTTTTACGTTGTTTTGTTTGACATCATCCTTTCAGAACCCATCACTGTCACAAGCATGGTACTCCTTGAAAGCTAAATGTTAATTTCATTGGATACTATTTATTTTTAAATGTATTTACTATGATTTTCCATTTTATTTGAAAGTTGTTACCTATCATCGCTGAGCATCACACCCGATTTATTGATAACCTCATTTGTTATTCCTCAGTTTAGAAAAGAAGCGGGGAGGTGTGCCTTTTGTGTTACAGCTCCTCAAGACAGGAATGTGTTGCCCTCTGACTTGAGGTCTATTTCTTCATTCCATTGATTTCACAACTATATTTATGAGTATTTACTACCAATCTGTAACTGTTTTGCTTCCACTGTCCAATTTGTACTTAATTTAACAACAACCTTTATTCATAATCATGGGTGAGACGCATCATAGCAGGATTTTATCGTGTGTGTTTTGCTATAGTGTGTTTGTGATTACGTAATGACTGCTATCTTATTTTTTATTTTGTTGTATAATTGGAGGACTCGCTTGAAAATGAGATGATACTTCTCAAGCAGTTTGTATCCTCATAAAACATAAGTCAAATATATAAATGAATAAATATTCAGCCGAAACTCAGCAGATACGTGGAGGAATCGCGATATGAGAAACTTAATGTTAAAGGAGAAACATTATAATTATTTATTTATCGCCCCCTTTGACATGATGGACGGCAGATCAGGTGACATGGGTGCAAATGGTCAATAAGCTGAGAAGCTTCAATATTCAGGAGGGGATCGGAATAGAGGTGCTGCTTCTCCAGCAGCGGCTCTCTCTTGCATGTGAGAGGAGGTTCCAATCTATGGTTCGACATATCCTGGACAGGCCCCCAATTGTTACGACCCGGCTCATTGGGCCACAACAAAAGTAGAGACACACCATGTAAAAGTTGCTAAAATATCACTAATTCAAGCAAAATTACCTCACACCAACCAGCAAAAACAAGAGTTCAACCAAAGAGGTGCAAACTGATTCCAAATGTGACAGCACAAAAATTAGCAAAAGGTGAATTTTGCATGTGTCCCCTTTAAAAAACAACAAAAAAATGCTAATCTGCAGAACATTACCATGTTTTCTCTATGGGTTTCTTGTGAGAAACGGTTCCTTTCTTTTTAGTTTTCATCACTTTTGCATCAAATAAAAAGTGCAAGGAACAGATTTATACACAGTCAAAAATAAGGCAACAGAAGTACATATTTGTGTACTCACTGTGTAAAGTTCATTGAGAACTTTCAACAGGTCCTCCTGCAACTGCACTCCGACCTCTTTACTCTGAAAATACAGAAACAAAAACCTAGTGTTGAATGTAAACAGCTCTAACCATTAGGTTTATACAGTCTGCTGAAACAATGTCCGCCTGCCTGGTCTTTACCCACTCAGACACGTGAACAAGTTAGGATGACGCCCTAATCTCAGATACAACAGAGAAATGGGCTTGATGGACTGGTTTAGGGATTAAGAAAGGGACATGGATGGGGTAGCAAAACGGCCAAGTATATTTTATAACATATAATCTAATATAGGAGCTAGATGTACAAGCAGTACTATTATCCAGACATTGGTGCTGAACACCTTCAATGACAGATACAGATCAGTGGACTCTGAACACAAACACACTCATCATGGTGCTCTTTATATTTTTGCATAAATAAATCACAACTGGCCCAACATTTGCAAAAGGAGCTGATCTATAGTTGACCAGTGCTAAGACTAAGGTGAATGTTTTATTTTCATTTTTGATTCAGCTATTTGGATACAGCATTCAAGTCTGATAAATAACAACAAAAAATAAAATACTGAATATCTTTAAAACTAGCAGCTTTTTCAGTGTTTGAAAGCAGAAAATACAGTAAGAGTTAGTTTTTAAGCAGTGCTCAGCAGTACTTTATTATTCTTACACTAAAGGGCCTCATTAAACAAGTTATTAGCTGCTGTAGGTAACAAATAATCCTTTTCAGCGCTGTCGGCTCAGAAAGGTCCAGATTCAAAACTCAAGCAGGTAAATAAATAGTTAATGATGCAACCTATTGTTAAATATGCTGGATTACTTGAAGACAGGAAGAACATCTTTAATCTGATTTAATTCTAATGACAAACAATAATGGCTACAGATCTAACTCATTTTAAACAATCGCATTGCTTACAGAGCTTTCAGAAACCAGGAGACAATCAGCAAACTATTTCCAACACCCTTCAAATTGAAGCACTTTTTGTTTTATAAAACTTAAAAATCAAAGCAGACAGGTAAGAGACGGCTGGATAAACAAGGGGAAAATAAGAGGAGAGAAAAAAGGCAGAAACAGTAACAAGAAATGCAGAAGGAATGTGGAATGTAAGCAAAAACAGATTTCGTCGGTGCATGTTGAGCATCTGTCTTCCTCTGCAGGAGGGGAAAGAAGAGGGAGGGGGCCTCTTTGAAGGTTTGGAAAGAGGGAAAAGAAAATGTTCAGATGGAAATATGAAAAAAGTCACGATCATGAAGCAGAAAGGCCAAGAAGTTAGACAAAAGGTGTCGCAGATGGACTTGAGAGAAGTATCAGGGTGAGGCTGTCCTGAGAGCTTCAAAGGAAGCTCAGCCATCAGAATACAGCCTGGCTGTATGTAAACAGTGGATGTTGACCTTTGAACCTCGGTAGTTAGCCCGTGGCCGCCCAACACACACTGACACCGGGCACGCTTGAGTTGAACTTCCCGAGTTTTTTTGATATGAGCTGTTGAGGTGAGTCGTAGCCAGTGGCCCCGACCACGATGGATTAAATGGACTAATTATACACCTAGTTAGCCATCAGAGCATTGTGTGGGTGTATGAGCGCAGCCAGACAAAAGCAAACCTTCTGCCAAATAACAAAACGTAGAAATCAATGACCACAATTCAACCAAAAAATGACAAAAAGTCCAGTTTTCCTCTGGCGGCTGTGAGATGAGCGAGGAGATCGGCGTGCGTTCTCACTGCTTGTGATTAAACTCTAAACAGGAGTTCAAAGACAAAGTATCAGACAGGAAATCAGCTGCCTCTGCCCTGGCGTCCCACACACACATTTACTGTCCACAAAAAATGTCTAACTTTCTATATCTTTCAGTGCTTTCCATTCAACCTGTTCTCCATTCTACATGACACCCGACCAGAGCCTCCCCCGCTATGATCCTTCACCTTTAACTCCCAAACCTAAAATCTGTTGTCATTTTAAATCCAAACCAAAGGCTTTACCCTTTGAAGTGCCAACAATCTGTAAAAATGACCTCATCCTGCAGCACTGCTCACTCTGTGGGATTCATGCAGGATGAACTCTAATATGCCCGTCGTGGAGGCGAACAACCAGGGTGGGGGTTAGGGTGGGGTGGTGTTCAGCTTTATTATTCGCTTCATCATAAACAGCCCCAATCTCTATTCCTGTACCTTTTTGGTACTTCCATCACATTTCCCACTTTTATTATTTCTTTTATCTCTCTAGACAAGGTTGGCAAAGATCAATAAAGATAAGGAAAAAGACAAAGACTTTATAAAGTGCCATGGCTCAGGCTTTAGCAGACTCACTGTCAGTCAATAAATCAGCTGAGACAAAAGACAGATGTAGAGATGGACCTGGATGAAAGATGCCATGGATTCAAGCACATCCGGCCCTCTAAAGCTGCCCCATTACTTGAAGAGGAGAAGCCGTTACCTAAACATTAGTGCTTTATAAATCAAACAAGTGTTTAACACCAGTGTGCACAATATTAATGCTGCAAAGAGCTGCTCGGATTACAGTAAATCGCAGATGCTCTGAGCAAAAGGACGAAAGGGTGCTCGAACCTTCTTGAAGAGGCGTCCCGAGTCCTCGCTGATCTGTGCAAACCGGGGGATGATGTTGTTGAGGTAGAGGTCGGACAGAGTGGCGTGGTCACGGCTCTCCCTCTTCACCTGAAGCAGCATCAGGTTCCAGCAGTTCAGTGGAGAGGAAATGACTTGCTCCTTCCTACACACACACACACACACACACACACACACACACACACACACACACACACACACACACACACACACACACACACACACACAGATTTAACTTTGCATATCTTTCATCTGCTGAAAACACAATCGTTAAACAGATTTTGGAACAAACGAGCCATTCTCACTTTTGCAAACACACATCCAGAGTAGGTGTGTGAGCGTGACTCGGCCAGGGAGCTATTGGCTGATCAAAGCAAATTCAAGCACTTTTAACCCTCCCACTGTCCTAATGGGTGTGACCCCGGTGAGGAAAGTGTACCATTGAGCAGGGTTGATGGTTTATCCCTTGAGGTGCACGTGGCAGGGGTGAGGTGGTGCTCACTCCTCACCCCTGCCACGTGCACCTCAAGGGATAAACCATCAACCCTGCTCAATGGTACACTTTCCTCACCGGGGTCACACCCATTAGGACAGTGGGAGGGTTCAAGTGAGTTTTCAATATTTTCCAATACCTCATTATAGTGATTATATTTAGTGACAAACATCCATCTTTTCAGTTAACACCAGCTTCAAACACTTTATTAAAACTGTGAGCAAAAAAAACCTTAAATATAAACATTAAAATTCAAGGACTTCAAGCACCAACCCTGCGTGTTTTATGATCATAACAGTTTTAGTCTGAAGGCCCTGACTGCTCCAAGTGCTCATGAATCAGTTACAAACAAGCTAGGCTGTTAAATGGCATGCTTACTCAACAACACAAGCGCTTTCACAGCGTGCAAACACACACACACACACACTGTGTGTGTGTAAGTACAATAAGTTATATGGGTGATCCACGGATGATCTAGTGGGTGAAATGGATTATGAGTGAGTGTAAGTGGATGAATGATGGTCTTTGTGTCATTAAGAGCAGCTTTATCAGGGCTGCAAGGCATTTACATGACACACACACACACACACACACACACACACACACACACACACACACACACACACACTCACTCATGGGAGAGGGGTCAGTAGAAGTAGAGCAGTGACCCAAGCGTACACATTGTCAGACAGAGAAAGTCTTTGAGGGGTTCGAGTTGGGGGTAGCATCATGGGAAGGGGTGTATGTGTGTGTGTAGCAGGAGAATGGATGGTGACGGGACAGGGAGGTACAGGCTGCCGCAGGATAAAAAAAATAAAAATAATAATCTTGGGAAATAAAACAATCTCGTCAACACACCAAATGAAACTCTCCATGTGTGGAATACTAAAAAGCCGTCATGAGGACGACGACGTGTGTTCACTTCCCTCCGCTGTTTGTTCCTTTTCCGGTGAGTCTGTCTCTGCCGGTTGCACAACACAGAGAAGCCGCTGTAACTCTTTTCTTTTGTGCCAAAAGATGTTCACCTTTGCACCTCCATTTGACATGGTGACCCTGGGAGAAATATCACCAACAAACCCCACCTGACTCCCAGCTAAGCTGACATGATGTTGCGGCCCCGAGGACACATGACAGAGATGTTTCTTTATTCCACTCCTGTTGGCTGTTCTGTAAAGCTGCTTGGAGCAGAACCTCTAAATGGAATGCAGCCCATCTGTTCTGAAACTTCCTCTGTATACCTGAACCGTGGCACCAATTAGAATTAAACATTACTATGACTATAAGAATCCAGATGCATGTCCAAATACAAAAATCACTGAAAATTATGTTGCATAGCAAATCTAATATATGTATATGTATATATATATATATATATATATATATATATATATATATATATATATATATATATATATATATATATATAAACAAATTGATCAGATCCTTTTCTGACCTTCCCCACCTACAAAGTTTAATTACAACGATCAAACGTGACAGAGCCTGGATTTGTATTCTGAACAGTCTAAACATGTTTTAAAAAGAACCGCATGACAAAAGTGGCACCTGCTCAGGAAAACCACCAACAGGGTGAAAAATATCAAAATATTGTAGGCAGAGACGGGCTACAACTTCTGGATCCACTTTATATAAATCGTTTTATTGATTATCTTCTTATGAAAGATACCTTTGACGTACACGAGCGACTGCTGCCACCTGTTGTGAGCAGCGCTCTGCTGTCTGAGGGTAGGCCCCGCCCACAACGCCGCGGCTGCTGCGGTGTTTTCTTTACTGTGGGAAACGGGTAATAATGGCTCTTTGATGGGAACAGGTTGCCGACCCCTGGTTTAGCGTGACGTCAGATATATATATATATATATATATATATATATATATATATATATATATATATATATATACACACACACATATATATATATATATATATATATATATATATATATATATATATATGTATATATATATATATATATATATATATATCCATGCCCTGATGTGGGGCTGGGGGGGGTGTCAACATGGTCGGGACATAGAAGGGGGTGCGCAGCTAAATAAGTTTGGGAACCACTGTTCTAGATACAAGGTTCTGATAAACACACATCATTAAATCACCATACATCACATCCCATCCTCTTAGATCTATCCATCACAGTAGCCTTGGTTAATTTGTCATGTTTTTATTTTTTTTAGAAAATACATTTCTTATCTTTTATAAACCTGACTTGTCTGAATTGATACAAAATGTGTTTGATCCCTGAAAAGGCAAACAATCCTAGAATCTTCTGGTTAAACATCCAAAGACCAAGCAGGTTGATATTCTATATTTATATAGAATATCACAGCTTATTGGTCATAAGTAAAAGTAATATATTAAGCTTAAAAGCAACATTTACCCTCTACAATACAGGTGCTGGCCAGTAAATTAGAATATCATCAAAAGGTTGAAAATATTTCAGTAATTCCATTCAAAACGTGAAACTTGTACATTATATTCATGCAATGCACACAGACCAATGTATTTCCAATGTTCATTACATTTAAATTTGATATTCATAAGTGACAACTAATGAAAACATCAAATCTGGTATCTCAGAAAATTAGAATATTCTAAAGGCCAATGAAAAAATGTTTGTTTCTCTAATGTTGGCCAACTGAAAAGAATGAACATGAAAAGAATGTGCATGTATAGCACTCAATACTTAGTCGGGGCTCCTTTTGCCTCAATAACTGCAGTAATGCGGCGTGGCATGGACTCGATCAGTCTGTGGCACTGCTCAGGTGTTATGAGAGCCCAGGTTGCTCTGATAGTCGTCTTCAGCTCCTCTGCATTGTTGGGTCTAGCGTATTGCATCCTCCGCTTCACAATACCCCATAGATTTTCTATGGGGTTAAGGTCAGGCGAGTTTGCTGGCCAATCAAGGACAGGGATACCATGGTCCTTGAACCAGGTGCTGGTGGTTTTGGCACTGTGTGCAGGTGCCAAGTCCTGTTGAAAGGTGAAGTCTGCATCACCATAAAGTTGGTCAGCAGCAGGAAGCATGAAGTGCTCTAAAACTTCCTGGTAGACGGCTGCATTGACCCTGGACCTCAGGAAACAGAGTGGGCCAACACCGGCAGATGACATGACATCCCACACCATCACTGACGGTGGAAACTTTACACTGGACCTCATGCAACGTGGATTCTGTGCTTCTCCGCTCTTCCTCCAGACTCTGGGTCCTTGATTTCCAAAGGAAATGCAGAACTTGCTTTCATCAGAAAACATAATTTTGGACCACTCAGCATCAGTCCAGTCCTTTTTGTCCTTGGCCCAGGCGAGACGCTTCTTGCGCTGTTTCTTGTTCAAGAGTGGCTTGACACACGGAATGCGACACCTGAATCCCATGTCTTTCATGAGTCTCCTCGTGGTGGTTCTTGAAGCGCTGACTCCAGCTGCAGTCCACTCTTTGTGGATCTCCCCCACATTTTTGAATGGGTTTGTCGTCACAATTCTCTGCAGGGTGCGGTTATCCCTAGAGCTTGTACACTTTTTTCTACCACATTTTTTCCGTCCCTTCGCCTGTCTGTTAATGTGCTTGGACACAGAGCTCTGCGAACAGCCAGCTTCTTTAGCAATCACCTTTTGTGTCTTGCCCTCCTTGTGCAAGGTGTCAATGATTGTCTTTTGGACAGCTGTTAAGTCAGAAGTCTTCCCCATGATTGTGGTGCCTTCAAAACAAGACTGAGGGACCTTTTAAAGGCCTTTGCAGGTGTTTTGAGTAAATCAGCTGATTAGAGTGGCAGCAGGTGTCTTCTATATTCAGCCTTTTCAGAATATTCTAATTTTTTGAGATACCAAATTTGGAGTTTTCATTAGTTGTCACTTATGAATATCAAATTTAAATGTAATGAACATTGGAAATACATTGGTCTGTGTGCATTGCATGAATATAATGTACAAGTTTCACGTTTTGAATGGAATTACTGAAATATTTTCAACCTTTTGATGATATTCTAATTTACTGGCCAGCACCTGTATATTGTGACCCAAGATTCTCTTTGGGAAAAAAGTTTTAGAAAATCAGAATAAAGAAATAATAATAATAATAATAATAATAATAATAATAATAATAATAATAATAATAGTAGTAGCAGTCTTCAACGTTGGAAATGGAAATAATAACCCATGGGAAGTGGTCACATTTCCTAAAAGTCTCAATAGTGAAGTTTAACAAAAAAAATTAAAGTAAAGTAATTAAAATCATAACCAAATCTGAGCAAATGTTAGAATTAATGTAGCTGTGGGTAGTTTGGAGAACGGTCAGGTCCTAAAAGTAAAACAATTCAAATATTCAGTACAAGATGGGCTTTAAATGTGAAGCTAACTTCTGTAATGCGCAAACACACACACACGCACACACATGCGCACACGCACGCACACACACACTTTCCTTTAACCATACAATCCTCCAACCGCTGCAGCGTCTGCCAAATAGCACACATACCAGGGGTCTCCACGGGATTCACACACTCACAACCCTCACTCCCCACATTGCTGGGAGTGCCATTGACGCCCAGCCATACAGAGAAGTAGAGCTAAAGAGTACACACACACACACACGCATGCACGCACGCACGCACGCACACACACACACACACACACACACACACACACACACACACACATAACTAAATTCCAGCATTGCACCCTGACTGATCAGCAGCAAATGTAAAGAAGAGAGTTAAATGAACAGATGTTGGAGATAAAACGAGTTAAAAACATGGAAGCAGAGAAATCTAGACGGATCACTTCCCAGTTAGCGGATTAGTTTTCTCAGTGACATCTGGTTAGACAGTGGCATGTGAACAGACCTGTTGCAAAAACAGTAGCAGCCAATCAGCTCAGCTACATCTATTTATTCTGTCCCCCAGCCCGATCCCATTCCCACCCTCAGAATGCAGTGCACACGGACACATGCTCTCAACTGTTTCTGTATCGATCTGAGCCAGAGGGTGTGTGTTAGAAGGGGTGAGGCCTCATGGCACTGGGTTTCGTTTAGAGGACCTATTGACCCCTTCTAGACTGTGCCTGTGCAAGTGTGAGACTGCAAATGTGAGTTTAACACCACCGAGCCACCCCAGCAGAAGAAAAGCTCTGAAAACAGAGGAAGGAGGGATGTCAGGGGGAAGGCATAGTCCTTCTCAGAAACGTTGGCAATTCTGGAAGACCGAAATACCCCCTCTGTAGTGCTGAGCAACACGGTACTACTTTTTCTCATGAATCAGAATACCAAACAAAATATTTAAATGTTCTCTGACCAGTCCTTACAGTTCTAAAAGGAATGAAGCTGGTTTGACATTATAAAAACAGCCTGAGGAGGGATAAACTAAAGTAAACATCTCAATTCCATCACCTTCTTTTATTAGTTGTGTATTCTAAATATTCTAAATAATGACTTTAAAATAAAAAGCTAATAAGAAAAACTGTTTTTGCTGAATAGACGGTTTCAAACACAA